ATGGGGGGAACGTCCGCGACTCCGAGCTCCCAGCCTCTGCAGGCTCTGCCAGAACAAGGTGCCTCCTAGAATATCTAAGCTCCTCTTCTTCCAAAGCAGCGACACCCGGGAGCTTCGGGGGGCACCTGGCCACCCAGAAAAACAGCCCTCTGAATAGGTCAAAGTCGATGCATCGTGAGCAGAAGTACCTTGAGGCACCTTCTGGAACCTTTCTACAGGGCAAGGAGATTGTCTACAAGCAGCCAGAGGGGTGCTGTCCTGATGCCCACGTCCCGCCTGCTTTTTAAAAAATATATTTTATCGATTGTGCCATCACAGTTGTCCCACTTCCCCCCATTCCCCTCCACCCTGTACACCCTCTCGCACCCACATTCCCCCCTTTAGTTCATGTCCATGTGTCACAAGTTCTTTAGCTTCTGCATTTCCCACACTACTCTTGCCCTCCCCCGTCTACTTTCTCCCCACCGTCTATGCTGCTTATTCTCTGTACCTTCTCCTCCTCCCACTCCCCTGATGCTAACCCTCCATGTGATCTCCATTTCTGTGGTTCTGTTCCTGTTCTATTGTTTGCTTAGTTTGCTTTTGATTTAGGTGTGGTTGTTAATAACTTTGAGTTTGCTGTCTTTTTACTGTTTATATTTTTTATCTCCTTTTTCTTAGATAAGTCTCTTTAACATTTCATATAATAAGGGCTTGGTGATGATGAACTCCTTGAATTTGGCCTTATCTGAGAAGCACTTTATCTGTCCTTCCATTCTAAATGAAAGTTTTGCTGGATAGAGCAATCTTGGTTGTAGATCTTTGGATTTCATGACTTGGAATACCTCTTTCCAGCCCCTTCTTGCCTGTAAGGTCTCTTTTGAGAAATCAGCTGACAGTCTGATGGGGACTCCTTTGTAGGTGACTGTCCCCTTATCTCTTGCTGCTTCTAGGATTCTCTCCTTCAATTTAATCTTGGCTAATGTAATGATGATGTGCCTTGGTGTGTTCCTCTTTGGGTCCACCTTCTCTGGGACTCTCTGTACTTCCTGGATTTCCTGGAAGCCTTTTTTTTTTGGCAGATTGGGGAAGTTCTCCTTTATTATTTGTTCAAATAACTTTTCCACTTGTTGCTCTTCCTCTTCACCTCTGGCACCCCTGTAATTCAAATGTTGGAACATTTAAAGATGTCCTGGAGGTTCCTAAGCCTCTCCCCTTTTTTAAAAATTCTTGTTTCTTCATTCTTTTCTGTTTGGTTGTTCTTTTTCTTCCTTCTGGTCCACTCCATTGATTTCAGTCCCAGTTTCCTTCCCATCACTATTGGTTCCCTGTGTATTTTCCTTCATTTCACTTATCATAGCCTTCATTTGTTCACTTAATTTGCAGCCAAATGCAACCAATTCTGTGAGCATCCTGATCACCAGTGCTTTGAACTGTGCATCTGATAGGTTAGCTATCTCTTGGTCACTTAGATGTATTAGCTCTGGGGTTCTGATCTGTTCTTCCATTTAAGCTTTTTTTTTTTTTTGGTCTGGTCGTGCCTGTTACGCATGAGGCGGGAGCCTTGGAGCAACCCACGTCGCTGGGTTGTGACGCTGTATGTGGAGATGGAATCCAAAAGGGAACAGTGGCCATTGCTCCGCTCTCTGCTGGATTTCAGTCTCTTCTCCCGCTTCCCTCAAGCAAACTGGGCCCTTTGGGTGCTGATTCCCATGTGGGTGGTGGGTTTGTGTACATTCTAGGACCCTGTGGGTCTCTCCAATGAACTCTCCCGTGAGGCTGGGAGTTTCTCCCGCTGCCGCCTCAACCCCCACAGGTGTTTTCAATCGGGGCTTTTAGGCTTTATTTCCCGGTGCCGGGGCCCTGGGCTGCGCCGTCTGTCTTGCTGCCTGTTTTCGCCGGGTTTAGCGGTTGGATGAATGGTTGTACTTCGTACAGTTCCATTTTCTGTCTGATCTGGGGTTTTTTTTTTGTTTCCAAATTTCTGTTGTCCTTAATTTTGGCCGTGCGAGGAGGTGCAATGTGTCTACCCACGCCTCCCCCTCGGCCGAAGTCCCCGCCTGCTTCTTAAGTGTGTCTCCTAATTACCAATCTGGGTGGATCAGCATTTTCCATGTGATGTGGAACGTCCACTTTTCCTTAGTTATTTCAATTTTCACCTCTTTGTCTCGGGTCTGGGTTTGGGAAGCAGCACTAAAACATCTGGGTGAGCTCAGCCACTGTCGTGGAATTGAGGGATTTCAGAGGATTTCACTATTTCCATTCCCATACGTTTTTATAGTTGCTTCGGGTCCGGCAGCCAGTGTGGTGATTCCTGGTTTTTAGCACAACCACTCAGGCACTTACATACGTAATGACTGCTACATTTTGATGGAGATTCCATCTTACTTAGTTCTTTTTTCCCTGTCTTTCGTTCTCTTTAATCCTGTTCATACTTACCGGAGGGATGGCCACGTGGACCTCACCTGATGGGGGGGGAGTGTTGACTGATGTCTTCACCCGTCTCTTGAGCGGGAACGGAGCCCCGGGTCACTCGGCCACTCGGCCACCTGCAGCCGCCTCCGCGTCTGGTGCCCCAGGTGCCAGGCGGTCACCGGCCTCCCCCAGATGTGCCCGCGGTCTCTGGGCTCCACCCCGCCTCTGGGAACATTTCCTTCCACCTCAAGTACATCCTGGAGAGCTTTATTTAGCGGAGAACAAACTCTGCCTTTCGATTACTTGTCTGAAAATGCCCTCATTGTCCTGTGTATCAAATTTTAGGTCAAAGACTTATTTTCTTTCGAGTCACTAAAGACAGTCTGCCATTTTCTGGTTTCTGTTATTTCTGTGGAAAAGTCAGCTGAACACACAACCATCACTATTGGGAATATAAGAAATTTCCCCTCAATCCGGTCGTCTCAGAAGAATGTGAACTACTCATTACGGAAAATTTAAAGCATTTCCCAAATCAGGAGGACTCAGCTAATAAGCCCCTTGGCGCCCAGGTCCTGGCTGCCATCCTTTGGCAGACAGCCCTTGGCGCTGGAATTCTGTCTCGTTGCGCTGGACAGTTTCAGAGCAGACATGGGCCTTCCTCAGCAGAGACATCCGGCCAGGTCTCTGACCGATAGGGATTTTATTATCGAAGCGCTTTGCCATGATCGCAACCAGCAAAATTAGCAAGAACGTGTGCAGGGCTTCTAACACCCGTGCCCGGCTCCGGTGCCCCCCATCCCAAAAGCGCCTTCCACAGCCGGTGGGTGGGACTCGGGTCTGGAGGAGCCCACCTCCGCTTCGGTGGCTTCCTCCTCGGACTGCCACGTGACAGGGGGCATGTTCTCCATGTCATCCCCTCGCTCTTGATTTGCCAGAGAAACCAGAGTCCAATAGAGAGACCCGCACTCCCCTCTGGCGTTCTCCTGCTGTCCTGCGATTTCTTCAGAATTCTGGACGTTGGCCCTGAGACACCAAGGTTTGATGAGATTCAGGTGAAGTTTGTTCCAAGGTCTTCACGACACTGGGGTGTTTAGTCTCTCTTCTCTCAGTGACTTGGACACAGAGCAGGGCTTCAGCCATGTCCCCGGGGCCACCGTGAGCTCCTCCCTGGGCCGAGGGTGGCTGCCCAGACCTGTGACTTCCTTAGAGGCTGAAATGAAGGCTTCCCTCCATCATCCCTCTGCATTCTGCCCCTTGAGGGCATCATCGGGCAGATTCGATACATTTCCGGCCCCCACTTCTGGTTGTGACGCAGGCCAGTCCGCACCCAGAGTCCGAGCTCGCGCGCATTTGGCCCCTGCCTCGCTGGGGTGCACGGGACGGAGTGAAGGAGAGCGGCCTGCTCTGTCTGTCCCGTCTCCGGCCCTGGTGCGGTGGGGACAGGTGGGCACTGTCTCCTCCCCTCCTGACATGCACCCCTCTGAGTCCGGGGACTGGCGGGGACAGACACAGCAGTGTCCTTCCTCAGGACAGCATTCTGGTCCGTCCCTGGCCGGTCCGGATCCGTGGTCCTGCTATCCTCTGCTCACAAGACACACGCTGTCAGGGGGACATTCACCTGCCATCAGCCACCTCCGGGCCTGCCTGTGATACCATGTTTTGCTTCCGGGTGAAGCATGACCTTGTGTGACCAAGAGTCTCCCAACGACTTCTGCTGCCTCCTGTGACCCCCCCTTCACTTGGCCCCGAGCCCCTGAGGTCCCGCTGCCGCCCCCTTTCCAGGGCTGCCACACTCGGGTCATTTCTGCAAACCGCCTGTCAGCGTCCACTCAAGGTGGCTCGGAGTGACAGGTTCCCTGAACCTCCTTCGCTGCCCTTGGCTCCAGTGGCCACCAAGGTTGGAGTGGGGGACACGCTGGGTCCTGTCAAGCCCTCAGATGACACTGAGGAGCCTGCTTGGTCTGGTGACCCTGCTGGGAGCCACCTAGGTGGCGGCACTGAGATTCTGGGGGAGAGGATCCCGTCACAGGAAGGAGGGGAGGGACGGGCCCTGAGTCCCCGCAGGGGACTCCTGGTAAAGCCCATCGGCCAGGGTGACGGCAGGCGACGGCCAGGGTGACGGCAGGGCTGGCTTCCGCCCAGGAAGCCCTGGGGACACTACCAAACACCCTGGGACATCAGGGCCACTTGTCCTCCACAGCCAGTGGGTGGCCTGGCCCACTGCAGCTTGTCCCCGAGGGGACAGAGTGTCCCTTCACCTGTGGTCGCAGCCTGGGAAACCTGAATGGTTCTCAGGGAAACCCAGGAAGCACGGCTGGGAAAGCCGGCCGCTGGTGCGCTGCTAACCCAGATCAGCAGACCCCTCCCGCCCCCCACCCCGCAGAGACACGCCTGGTCTGAGGGTCTGCGGGTCTGAGGGCAGCGAGGACGCTGTGCCCCTTTGGGCCTGAGCTGGCTGCTGGGAAGCAGGGTGGGGGAGGGGAGGGCAATGGCGAAGCGGAGGAAGGGGGGTGAGGGCTCAGACTCTCCTGCTTCCTTTCACTCTCTGCTCCCATGGACACGGTGTGGGGGGGGGGCAGTCGGGGAGGGCGGGCACCGGCACCGAGAGCCACTCAGGGCCTGGGACGGGCCTGCCCTGGGAGCCCGCATTCCTGAGCTGGGGAGGGTGTGGGGCGCTTTCCCGTGCAGCCCACACTCCGAGGCAGCCCAGCAGCAGCCCCGGGGGGGGACTGGAGGAACTGGCTCCTTCCCCCAGGCCCCGCGGGCACCGCGGCCTCCTGCTGGCAAACACTGGGCTTGCAGGTAAGCGCTGCTCACCGGTCCTGTCCCAGCTCAGACCGAAAAGCAAATCTGCTTTAATAGAAACTCTCCCTCCCCACCCCACCCCCGACAGCACCGGGATCACGGTACCATGACGGGCCCAGCTCGGGGACGAGTCCCTGCCTGTTAGTGCCGCAGAGCTCGGTGGAGAGAGATGTCGCCCAGGCTCCGTCCTCAGGGTGGGGAGGGCGGCAGTTCTGGGAAGACAGTCGAGCTCAGGCCCAGGAGCCGTGTCGGTCCCAGAGGGGCCCCCAGGGCCACTCAGATGCCCCCCCCCCCCGTGCTGGAGGTCTGTGCTCGGTGACCCTTCACACTTTCTGAAAGACCGACTCTCCGACTGGCTCCCGTTACCAACCTGAAGACCCCTGGGAGTCGGAGCGCCACCCCGTCACCGGGACCCTCTGTCCTCGGAAGAGCCAGCACAGGGCTGGGGCTGGGGGCCCCACCTGCCGCCTGTCACTGATTTACTGGCAAAGAGGCCGAGGGTCCGGGGAACAACTTACACTCCACCCTCCCAGGTCCCCTGGAAACCCATTTCTCTCCAGAGTAGAGTCCCCCCAGGTCGGCGTGGAGTCGGAAATACACAGAATCCACAGCCTGACGTCAGAGGAAAGCGGGGGTCAGCTCCCAGCTGTGCTGTGTGGTACCCGGGAGCACCTGGTCCGCCGTCCCCAGGCCGTGAAGGCCATGGAGGGGCTTGTGGCCCGGGGACGGATGTCCAGGCACCTGGATTTGGAGAGGAGGCACGCCAAGCAGGCTGAGGCCAGGCTGCGCCAGCACCTGCAGAGACTGGAGCGCACCTGCCTGTACCACCTGCGGCTGCTGAGCTGGGAGCAGAAGCAGCTCCGCCGGGAGCGGGAGAGGCTGCAGCAACGTGAGCGCCTGAGGCCGGCGGGGGGGGGGGGGGGGGGGGCAGGCCCTGGGACCCTGCAGCCCGCCCCACACCCCCCAGCTGCCCCTCCTGCAGTGGCCACAGCCCCATCTGCCAACTGACTGTCTGTCTAAACCCCTCATTGCCTGCTGTCTTGCTTTATTTTCCTTCCACTTTCCTTTCGCTGCACCTGGGCTGAGTGGGCTCCCCCTCCTTCTCAAGCCTGGTCAACAGCCACTCACTAGGTGACGTTTAGCTCGAAGTGCCCGCAGGGAGGGACGTCGAGTCGGAGCCCCCAGCATCAGTGGCACACGCGTGGTGTGCACAGGTGGCCCGGGGCAGGCTGAGCAGGGGATGAGCGAGAACTCTCGCCCCCCCACCGCCCTTCCCGCGCACACCCCGTGATTATTTTGTTTCGAAAAATGGTGCTCAACAAACAGAACGTTCAAACAAAGCCTCCTCGGCCTGTTCAGACCTCTGATCAGGGATTTCCAAATGCTGGTTAACACGCTTTGGGTAAACACCGCCAGGCCGGCCAAGTTTCTGCGGGTGTCCCCTCACTGGCTCCGCCCACATGCTGTGACCTGGCGGCCTGCCCACTGGCCCAGGGAACCAGCGTCTGGCTCCTCCTCCTCCGTCTCAGGTTTAGTGCCGGGACAACCAGGTGCCAGGGACCGCAGGGCGAGGTGAGGGGAGACTGCCCTCCCGGGGCCAAGAGGGGAGGCCTGTCCAGGTCCCTGTCTTCAGCCCGCGGACGTGTCCCCGCACCGCCTCCCCTCTGCACGCATCTCTGTCCAAACTCCCCTTTCCTGGGGACACCAGTTACATCAGGTTAGGGACCCCGAGTGACCCCATCCTAACTTGGTCACCTCTGTAGAGGTGATCCGGTCTCCAGAAAAGGTCACCTCCTGAGCCCCAGGGATTAGGACTCAAATGCATGACAAGGAGCGGGGACACGATTCAGCCCGTAACACTCAACCCACCCCAAGCAGACATCAGGAGCAAGTGCCCCGCCTCCTCCGGGAATGGGTTCCAGCAGAGACCAGGGGACGCCACCGTGTGCCCAGCGCAGGGAGAGAGGTGCGGGGCCCCGCGGGCCTCGGGGCGCAGGTGAGAGGCGCCCTCGGCTGTGTGCCCCTGCCCACTGTCCCTCCCCACCGTCCCCTCCTCCAGCACAGAGACCCCACCCCACTGTTCCCTTGGCTCACATCACAGAAAGGGGCCGTGGGCCGGTAACTCGAAAATTCAAACTACGGCATCTTTGTCGGTTGTCAGAGAACTTTCTTCTTTCCGCCCCCCTGCCCAGAGCACAAGCAACCACCAACCCCACTCGAGGAACACGCAAAAATGGGTCCCAGGAGCCCCCTTCCCGTGACATTACCCTCCAGGACCCCGAGGAAGGCAGAGAGCCGCTGCCGTCCCAAAGCAGCGCAGCCTCGGACGTCAGAGAAGAGAAGCCCGTGCACCAGGCCACCTCCCCCGAGCCCGCACGCCCGGACCTCGGGGCCACCCCCACAGGAGACCTCGGCGGGGTCGGGTCGGGGGACGCCCCCCCGTCCCCGAGGGCCACGGGGCGCGAGGGAAACTCCGACAGCGAGGCCCCGGCGCCCTCCCTCCCCCAGCTGTTGGCCAGGGCCGCCAACGCCCGGTACCTGCGTCACCGGGTGCCCCCCGAGTCTGAGAGGGTGCTCAGCCTCCCGGAGATATTCGGGCACGGGGGCCCTGCGACCCACGGCAGGGCGGCCTCTCGGTCACCGCCTCTGTGACCATCCGGCGCCATGTCGCAGTCACCAGAGGGACGTGTCCTCTGTCTCCATCTTGTTTCCATCTCTGTTCCTCCCTCTCACCGAATCCACGACACCAGCGAGGCTTCCGAGGGCAGGCAGGCCACCGCCTGTGCTGGCTGCTAAGTCAAAAATGCGAGTCTGCGGGACAACCACCCAGTTTCTGAGACTCGTGGTGCCACCTGCTGGCCACACCGGAGGCCCTTGCTCCTGCTCACAGCTAGAACAGGGACTCCCTGAAAACGGGAGGGGGACGGGGGCTGTGGCCACCACCGGCTCTCGGCCTTCCCATCCGAGTGGCCGGCTTTGGTTTTCTCGTTCCCACCCCCAGCCGGCTCACACCCAACCTGCACCCTCACGGTGAGCCGTGGACGAGAAACTTGCTCCCTCCAACACTCCCAAGACACGAAGCACTGGGGCAGGCCGGCCGGGTGCCACACTGGCCGGGAGCATGAACTCACTGACGGTGACTGGCTGGGCCTCCTCCGGCCTCCCCCTCACACCCTGCTGTTTCCATCACGACCCCCCGGGCTGAGTTCTCCACTCGGTCCCAGTCTTTCTCCTGCAGCCAAGCCGGAGGCCAGGGCCCGGGCCACAGTGGCAGCGGGAGGGTGGCCGCTACCTGGGCCTCTGCATCGGACAGAACCCATCCAGGTCCACCCTGGTCTGTGGCCCTCTCCGCACAGTGCTCCTGTCCTCAGGCACCTGGGGGACCCAGACCTGCCGCACGTCCACCTGCAGCGGTTCCCCTGTTCCGTGTCCGAGCACGTTTCACGTGTCACTGCAAAATCGGGTGCTCGCTCGGTGCCCTGACGGCGGTGTCTGGGCCGCCACGTTCTAACGTGCCAGCCTCGGGCAGAAGCCGCAGGGTCACCGTGCTCAGCGATGCCTTTCCCCTCACTCACAGACCTCACGGCACCCAGCGCTGCCCCCGGGACAGAGGGAGCTGCGGGGCTCCGCCCTGCACAGACCAGGGAGTGCGCGTCTGCCCGGCGCTGCTCCCAGCCCCGCCCGCCCTCAGCCCCGTCACCCGCCCACCACCCAGAGCGTCCGGCCCTTGCGTTCCCGTGCAGAACGTTGAGCTTTGTTGAAAATACCTTTAGTGACCAAAAAACCCTTCAAAATACATAGCAAATCTACTTCTATATGATTTTTCATTTTTATTGACTCACCCAAAACTTCACTCACTTTATTCTATCCCAGGTATGGGTTATGTTTGGGGCCAAAACACCTTAATTAAGCATTTTAGCATTTTTGTCTTCACATCACGGATGTGGAGTCTGGGCCAACCTCTGACCACGGCCACCACCCGCCCGCCAGCAGCAACTCGGCCGGAAAACTTTACTGAGAAAACGTGAGCAGATCATGTGCAAGTTCACAGCCAGCGAGACGTGAGTGTGAAGCCCCGGCAGCCGGCGGCCCAGCTGGTGGGAGCATCACCTCATGCACCAAAATTGCAGGTTCAGTCCCGGTCGGCAACTAGTCAGTGTTTCTCTCCCCCCCACCACCCTCCTCCCGTCCCTATAACACCAACGATCAAAGTCTCCTCCGGCAAGAGTCAGCAACTGCTGGTCGGCAACGAGCCCGTGCACAGCGTGGGGTCAGGCCACCTCAGCTGCCACGTCAGCGGGACGCTCTGCAAATCAGGGAGGAAGCGGCCCAACACGCCGTCCCTGAGCTCCTGGGCCTGAGTGTGCGGGCGGCTGCAGGGGGGCAGGGCCCGAACCCCAGGACTGTTACAGGAAGAATGGGGGCGAAAGACCCGAGAAGACGCCCCCAGGAAACACTCGGAGTGGCCACCACCCTCCCGCGGGGGCAGGCCAGCAGGAGAACCGGCCGGCCCGCGTCTCGGCCACCGGAGGCCACACCATGTCCCAGAGTGTGGCCTGGGTTACGGCTGCAGGACACGCACCACAGGCAGAGGCGGCGAACGCAGGGTCACCCGCAGACTGTGATGGGACACCCGCCGGAAACCCGCGCAGCGACCTGTAACCGAGGAAGCTCTTCTCACCAGGGCACGGGCGCCAGGGCCTCAGAGGGGAGGGAGACAGCGGAGGCCCCGCTCACCCCACACACACGGCCCCTCGAGACAGCAGCCCAGGCAAGGACGGAGGGGGCGTGTCCCGGGGCCGCCCGCTAGTCCGCGCTCGGGACGGTGGCCCGAACCTGCCGCTCCAGCTCCAGCAGGTGCTGGTACAACTGCTCAGCCGTGTCCTCGTCAAGGTCCATCTGGAAGAGAATCAGAGACCAGGATGGCCGGACAGGACAGCCGCTGCGGACGAGGGAGGTGCTCTGCGTGGGGGGGGGACGGAGAAGCGGCAGCAGGGAAGGGCCGCACCCCCACACTGTCAGCCCCTGACTTCCACGACCCGGTCACGCGAGACACCAACCGACTCGGACCTGAGGAAGGACGAGGAGGACACTCCGAAGGGTCCGTTCCCGTCCACCTGCCGAGAGCACCTAGCACCGGCCTGCACACTGTCCCCAGACACCCGGGACGCCCCAGAGAGGAAGGGGCACCCCCTCCCTCCTCCTGCCAGGCTGCGCCCGGAGCCAGAAGGGGGGGCCGCAGAGCAGTGACAGGCACTGGGCGGCTGACGTCTGCAAAGCTGCCGCCTCCCCAAACTCCTCCCAGGCCTGAGAAACCCCGGCCTCCACCCCGCCCGCCCCCACCCGGCTGCTGAGGCCGCAGGTCGCACTGTAACCCACACGCTGTCTGCAAATGAAGCAGTAAAACCCCCTTCAGGTCCACAGAGTCTGAGCTTCCCACACAGCCTCTCTCCGCACAGGGCTGGGAACTGGACAAAACCGGTGCACGGTTCAGAAATGGCACCCACACTCGCTCGGTCACCGAGGTGTCCATGCTGCCGGGGTGGGGGTGGGGGCTCGGCCAGCTCTGGCTGGTCCAGGACGGAGGACCAGCCTGCGTTCATCCGAGGCCGAAACACCACCTTCCACGCAGCCCCCCAAAGTGCTGCTGAAATGCCTCAGTTTGCAGATCTCAGCCCCGCCTCCCCGAATGCACAGGCCACTCCCCCGAGACTGACAAGTAGGACGTTGGGACAAACCGAGAGTCCGGAAGGTCCCTGAGCTACCAGCACCCGGGAGGGGGTTCAGGGTGCTACCACGTTTTACATGAAGTGTGAAGAACAAGTCACAGAGTGCAGGACAACCTGCGAACCCGAGGTCACACCCTGGACACACACGTCCTCGCGGTGGACGTGCAGCCTGCGGGGGACCTGACCGTGCGCGCTGGCCAGGGGAGCAGGACAGGCCGCCACCCACACTCTCTGGAACCCCCAGTCCAGGGCCTCGTGCCCCGCGGAACAGGCTCCGGGAAACCTGCAGGGCCACCGGTGCTTCCAGGGGCAGGTGCTGTGGGAAGCAGGGAGCGCCACTCCCCTGGGCCTCCGGCCACCCTGCTGACCAGCAGACTGGGTCACTGCCCCGCCCGGCCCCGAGCTGAGACCAGATGAGCCAACAGCGCCCCCCACAGGAAGCCGGTGAAAGGGCGGCTGAAATACACCGCACTCAGGACGGAAACAGCACAGTCTGAGTGTCTGCGTGGTCCAGATGAGTCTCCTCATCCCCTGGCGGCCCCTCTGTGTTCGATTTCTGCTCGGAAAACGGCGGGATTTGCAACTCGCAGCGCAGGCCCCCACCCCTGCAGGGCGCCCGTCCCTCGGAGCCGACGGCTGTCTGCCCTGGGTGGGCCGCACTCGGAGGGAGCCGACGCCGCTCCCAGGCCCTTTCTGTCTCGTCCAGCGTGCAGCCCCCGTGCTGGGAAGGGGGCAGAGTCCACCCCGAGAGCTGACATTCAGACAGGGCCCCCTCGGAGGGAACACGCACGGCCCAGAGTGAGCTGCCAGCAATGCCCCTCATGGAGGCACTGACCCCACCTGAAGGGTCACAGAGGCCAAGATACAAGCTGAGACCTGAAGGGTCAACAGGAGAAACCAATGAGCTGAAAGAGGAAGGTCAGGGCCTCGCCGGGGGACGGAAGACGTGCCACGGACCAGCCAGAAACGGGACCGGCCAGTGCGGTGCTGGCGGAGGGAGCCCGGAGGCGTCAGGCGGGGCAGGAGAGCAGCCACGTGGAGGGCGAAGGGGTTTACCTTCTGGGTCGTCACGTAGTTGCTCCCGAGGCCCGTCGTGGCGCTCAGGTACTTGGTCAGAGGGTTGAGGGCCTCGGGCTTCTGGTGGAAGAGCCACACCTGCGAGGAGAGGGGAGGCAGCCGTGGTTTCCATCCCGCCCGTGGCCTGCGAGGCTGGCGGGGACTCCGGGCTGGCGCCTGGCTCCAGAGAAGCCAGGAATCCCCTCGGCCAGCTAGTTTTCACAGATAATTAGAGGCTACGCGGGAAAAGGTGCACCCCCGGGGGCGCAGCCAGGAACCAGGGAGGCCAGCAGAACTCAGCCCACGTGAGTGAGGCCCTCACACCCAGCCCCCCACTCCTCTCGCCCCGGTCAAGCCTCTCGGCCCCAGTGCCCCCCATTTCTGAGCACCCCGAGAGCTCTCGCCGCCGACCAGAGTGCTTGTAAGGGAGACTCTGTCTTCTGCACCCCACACCTCCAGGCTCGATTCTCTGTCGGACACATTAGGGGGTTGTGACATCCCTCCAGAAAGGGCTGCTCACTGACGTCCCCGACAGTTTGGCAAACACATCGAGGACGAACGGAGGTGAATCTGAAAGCTCTGGCTTCTACTGTCCACCTGCGCCCCAGTCACCGAGTCTGTCTCGGCACCGTTTACCGAGGCTGCAGTGGCCGGCTGACTCCCACGTTCATTCACCCTCGTCAGTGCTTCCCTGTTCTCTCACTTCAGCCACCGCTGAAGGATCCACCGCGCAAGCGCTCTACGGCACTCGGTCCTCGAGGGTCCCAAGCAGCAGAAAAGTCCGGAAGGAGCTCCGTCCTGCCGTCCGGCTTCGGGATGGAGGAGCGGCTCGACCCGACCTGGACAGCCCGGGCGCGGCTGCCGCTGCTCCTGCCCTGCGGGAAGCGCTGCCCCCCACCCCCGGACTGCCTGGCCCCCCCAAGGGACCCACGCGGGCACCGCCCTGTGAGCCCCACCCCTGCGGAGAGCCTCTGCCACCCCGGGCCTGAGGGGGCCCGACTGCCCACACAGCATGTTCTCATCCTTTCTGTCGAGACCGAGAAAGCTCCCCGGGGGTGGACAGTTTGCATCGGGAGTAACCGAACAAGCCTCGAACCCGTCACGTACCAGGGCCTCGGCTCCGTTGTGCGGTGTCAGGGTGAACGCATTCGCGAAGAAGCGCAGCTGGGAAAGAGAAGACAGAGTCACCGCCGTGCGGTGGTTTGGGACGGGGTCGCGACGGCCTGCCTCACTGGTGCGGTCAAAAACACAGCCTGCGTCTCTCCTCAGCGGACGTCTGCTGAGTGCCAGAGCGTAAGCAGGTCTGAACAGAAGCACCACTGCCTCTCCGGTCCCCCGAGTCAGCCCCTGGCGTCACAAAGGCCGTTTCTCTTTCTCCACACCTGGCGTGACAAGGGACACGCTCTCTGAGCCCCACAAGGAAGCACGTTTCCTAGCGTGCTGAGGCCACGCCGACCCAACAAAGGCACGGAAACCACGGAGCGGGGCGGGCACACGGCTCCACAGTCACGGGACGCACACTCGTCCTGACCCGGGGGCTTTAAATGCACGGGACCCCAAGGCCCACTCGGGGCACCCAGGTCCCCATCGTGGGGCCCAGGTCTCCCACAGCTGCAGCCCTGGGACCCTTGGGGCCTGGGGACCATGGTCCTGCATGGAGGAGGAGACAGGTAGGGGGGACTCTGAAGGACTCTGAGGGGTCAGCTGGGGGGCAGAGGCTACCTAGGTGACTTCAGACCTCGAGTGCCACGGGATTCTGCCACACCCAGGCTCAGTTTCTTAAACCACTTCCTGACCTTCAAATACACCTGTCTGGTCCCGATGGAACCGATTCCAGACACCAGGGAGGGCGTGCGGGCGGGCGTGCGGGCGGGCGTGCACTCACCAGCCATATGAGGGGCATCAGCAGGGTCCACACGAAGGGCGGCAGGATCCCGTAGGTCAGGTTGGTCAGCATGGTCCCCGGGCACACCACGCTGGAGAACAGGCCCTGGAGCAGGGACGGGGGCGCGCTGAGCACCGGGGGGGCCAGCACGGGGCACACCCGAACGAGCCAGATGGGGGCAGGAGGGACCTCCGCCTGGGCCACACCCATCGCTAGTCCCGTGACCTCTGGGTACAGGACCACCTCTGCCAACCTCAGCGTCCTCAGCCCCACCCCACCGTGACAGAAAAGGTGCCACACTCCCAGGGACAGCGTGCGGCCGGGGAAACACAGTCGCGGGTTCTGTCACTGTCCCTCTGCTGGGGACACTTCGGCTCTTGCAGACGACAGGCTGGTGAATGAGCCTCAGATGCCTCAGGTCTGGGGCTTGTTCTCCCGGCCCTGTGACGTTCGCGCGCACCGACCGCCAGTGCCCCTCGGGTCCCTCCCTGTCCTCCCAGAGACCCCGCCCAAGAGACCCCACTGTGCCTTCGAAGGCGCCCGCGGCAGCCGCGGACCGGCAGGGGCCTCACCTGCCCGTTGCCATGCCGGTTCAGGGCCACGCTCAGGAGGTCGACCGCGTACTTGGAGGCGCTGTAGGGCTCCCGGCCCCGGCTGTGCTGGACGTCCTCCAGGCTGAAGTTGGACTTCCGGGCGCTGCGGGACGACGTCCAGATGAGCCGGGACGGGCTGTCCCTGGGCCCGAGGAGCGGCTCCAACTCCCGAACCTGAGTGAGGGAAAGAGGAACAGCAGCTGTATCACGGTCCCCACGGGGGCGGGCGGGGGGCACAGCCCCTGCTCTGAAACCACTGTAGTGTCTCCTGCAACGCAGCAGTTGGTCCCCCGGAGAGGGGACGTCCCGGGAGAATGAGGAGAGGCTCAGGCTCTCGTTCACCTCGGTTGAGAGGCCGGTGGTTACATGTGGAGATCTGAGCACATACGTGTCCACACTCAGACCCACGCACTCAGGGGCACCGTGCGCTGCTGGCCGAACGTGTCCCAACAACAAGGGACACGGGAACCAGACGGCCTCCGAGACGGCCGCTCTAGGCCGAGGGTGGGAGCACAGAGTGGGCTCGAAGCTCCTTGTGGCGTCAGAAGGGACGTGCTCACAACAAACCAAAACACCATCGGGGGTGGGGGAGGCACGTCCCAGGGGCGGGCCCCGCAGAACCAACCTGAGCGAGAAAAGCGGCAGAAACTACACACCCAGGGTGCGCGGGGGCACCCACCGTCACCCCTCCTCCACAATCCGAAGAGGGCGAAGGAAGAGGACTGTCCAGAGGTAAAGGAAAAGGCAGACACCGACCTCTGCACACCTAGTTTCAAGTGGCCAGATAGGAATTGGACCCGTGCTGACTTCGTACTTTAATTAAACTTTGACTGAAAAACTAGTACGATTTTAAAAATAATAATAAAGGACATGATGAAACATGAGCCTCCTACTCATCCCCGAGGCCCTGGCACCCACATCAAAGGCAGCGGTGTCCCCAATCCGCACCCTCCGTGACACACTCTGTATGTGCACATGTACCGTGTGAACACGTGTCTTTGTTGTTTGCACAATCGAGGTCGCCCTGGGCCGACGGCAGCCCTCTGCGTCTCCGTGACGATAAAATCCATCAGGCTGCCCCGCCCAAGTGCAAAGTACTGACCTCACTTCTTCTCATGGTGTCTTAGTGTCCCACTGTTCACCTCTACCTTACTTTATTACAAATACAGGCCACTCCTCAGAGGTGGTCCCACTTCCAGGGGAATGGGCTCACTGTGAAGGACAGTGAGGGTGAGTCTGTGCCGAGACACGGACCGTGTGCAGCAAGCCCAGCGAGGCCACTGGACACGGCCGGGCGTGACTTCACCTAGACAGTGACGCTGCCCCGTGAGGTGGACCCGAGGCTGGAGCTCAGAGAGAGTGGACGCGGTGCCCGTCTCTGCTCACACCTGCACCCAGGACGGTGGCACGGAGGGCTTAGGAATTCAGGGGTCAGAATGGTCACGGGGTAAAGGCTGGCCGGCCACCCTCCCACCTGAGGCCACACCCCGCCCTGAGACCAGCGGGGGACCGTCTGTGCACCCCACGCATCGTCTCTGAAGGCCTCTGAGCGTTCGTTCTCCTTCCTCTCTGCTCTCCAGAGCCAACATCAAAAGAAAAAGCACATCGCACCAGGCTGCGGCAGGGAACCAGGGTTTTCAGAGTAACTGTCCCACTTAAATACTCAAAGACGGAACGCCATCAACACGCTATACCCCCCACACTGAGTGTTGGCTGGTGGGCCCTTTACCAGGAGAAAGTGGCCGAAGACGTTGGTGGCAAAGACTTCCTGGAGCCCGTCGGCCGTCACCTTGTCTTCCTGGGTCAGCAGTCCCTCAGCCGTGGAGAACACGTGAATCACGTTTCTGAAACAGCAGAAGAGATCGCGTGACTCTCAGCTCCCACCACTGGAGACCTGGAAGAGACCCCCGCCCCCCGCTGCTGTCCCTGTCCCAAACCCCACCTCCCGATCCTGGACGACTCTGTCAAATACGATGCAAGGACGCTTCCTTTGCCCCGGAAGTACTCACGCACCACAGGTCACGCTGCCAACAGGAGCCTGAGCCTCTGAGAACCCGTTCCAACCTGCCCCACCCCTTTGCAAATCAGCTTACAGGTCAACATCTCTGGGGACAATAGCTACGCCATGGAGAGTCCTCCCCCCACAAACTGATGCCTGCTGCCCCCCTCCCCAAGTCATTCAGACGCCTATGGTTCGTACTGGGTGTTCTCGGAGCAAGAACACTATTAATACAGTGTGCGCTGTGGACCAGTGGAGGAGGTCAAGGCCAGCGTGGGACTGAGTGTCTGCGTGGAGCGTTTAGTGGGAACTAAAACCAAAGAACCTCTGTGTGTGAACACGTACTCTAGGTCACGGGACAAAACTGCTTCCTCACAGTGGGTTGGGGTCAAACACTCTGGAAGCCACCATGCTGCACTGAGAATCTCCAGGGACGCAGTGAGTGCTCAGTGCTTTCCCACCTGCTGGTCAGAGCACCTGCCAGGAAGGCGCCCTCCTGGGGACCGGGGTCTGGCGGCCCCTGCCTGATCCTGAGGGGCTCTGCTCCCAGACATCCTGGGCCCAGCACGACACGGAACCATGCTGCACGACTGTCCCCTTGAGAGACGAATGCTTTCACCCGCTCGGTCTACTCTTCTCGACGCCCCCTCTGCCCCCCAACTTAACATGCCCAGGGCAAAATGAGGGGAAGAGTATGCACCTTCCTCGCCAGCAGGGTGTCTGGACAATGAGACTTACCTTGAAAAGAGGCTGGAGAAAAGTGCCTTGACGTTGAGATGTGGGCTGGGCATGATCCCGGCGTTCAGGTACACGCAGTCTAACCTGCGAAACCTGCAGGCAAGACACCAGGCAGAACTGTCAGCCCCAGGGGTGTCCCTCCCTGACGGTGGCTTCCAACGGCGGGAGTGGGGAGCTATGATGTGGGGTCCCATGTTCCCGAGTCTGTACTGACCACCATTCCCCAAGTCTGGACGATGACGATGCCCACCTCCGGGACGGCTGTTTGGAGAATTAACTGAGCACAAGGCCCACTAACAGGACGGCCTGGGGCTGGTCAACTCACTGATTACTTTGGCGCCTCCTTCTCCCCCGCAGCCTCACCACCTTAAATTGGGGCTAAATTACCAAATATCCTACTGGATACTAATGTACTCGTTTGTGATAACTAAATGTCTTCCCTGAAGAACTGGGGAGGAGATCTGGGTTCCGGGACCAGCACAGCAGTATAAAGCCCTGTGACCCTCCTGGGCACATTTCTCTCATTTCCGTGTCAGAGGCTGTGATGTCCGCACCTGCCTGGCCTACCTGGCGATCCGAGGAGGAAAGAGGTAGAAAATGCATTCAGGTGTCAGAGGAGTCACACTCGGGGTGCACTCCTGTATCAATCTTCATTAAATTAGCATGACCACGAGGAAAATGAACGGACTTCCTGAGCATCACTTCTGATGCCCAGGCGCTCCTTTCCAGGACTTCCTGCCCTTTCTCTTTCTGTCAGTGGCTACGCTGCACAACCCCACGTGGGAAAGCCCGTCAACGAGAGGCCCACCTGTGCCTGAGCTCCCCGGCGGCCCGCAGCACCGAGCGCAGGTCGGAGACGTCCACCTGCACGGTGCTCACCTGGGCGGAGGGCCGGGCGGCCACCAGCGCGGCGCGGAGGGCCTCGGCGCGGCCCGGGTTCCTGCATGCCAAGCACAGGTGCAGCTCGTCTTCCTCCTGCAGCAGCCGCTGGCAGAGCGCTCGGCCGACGCCGCTGGTGTTCAGACATGGAAACTGCATTAACCCCGCGGTGCCCCTCCGGCCTGTCTCGCTGGGTCAGAGCCCGCCCAGGCGGCAGGAGAGAAAGCCGGACCAGGCACCGCGGACCCGCCCCCGGTCCCGCCGCCGCGACCGCGCACGAGGCCTCACCTGCTCGCCCCGGTGACCAGCACCACCTTCCGCATCGCTCCACAGAGACTTCCGACCGCCGGCAGGACCTTCGGGGCTCTGGAAGGAAGTGCCCAGACCCTGGCCGGCCCCGCCTCCCACGCCCGTTGCCCAATCAGAGCCCAGCGATGCCCTCACGCCTGTGACTCAAGAACGCTCTCCAATCAGATCCAGGTCGGCCCCCGTACCCCGCCCACCGCCCAATCAAGGACGAATAATACAGCCTGCCACACCCCCGCCACGTCCACCAATCGCGTTACATCTCCCGCTCAGCGCCACTGCTGAGGTGGGGGTGAGATAGGCCGAGGGGAGGGGCCAGCTCCCAGCCAATCCGCGCTTTCCCGCTTCCACCACCCAGGTATGCCGGCCCCGCCCGCCAGGTGGCAGAGGCCGTGGGAGCGCGCACGGGGCGCACGCGGCCCTGGTCTCTGTCTGCTCGGACTGGGGCTTCTGCCGCTGAGCCTCGTATATCACAGGGAAGGTTCGTGTCTGGGAGCTGAAGTTTGGAGACTGTCCGCTCCTCTTTACTGCGCCACTTTACAACCACTTGTGCCTCCAGATCTCTAAAATGCCATCTTTGGAACATTGACCTTATGAGGAATTTTATGTAGAATGAAACATAGAAGAATGCCAGTTTTCAACCCTTGGGTAATGGGATGGAATCAGAGGGTCCCAGAACTTCACAGGACGAAGCGGATCATTATTGTAGCTTCCTCCGGCTATTTTCGAGGCATTGTCTGTGCTCCCTTATCTGTCAAGGTCACCACTGGGGGAAAAAAATGTGTTCACATTGTTCAAGGCAGTGAAAGTCCTGTGTAGACATAGTCTACAGTCTTGTAGGTAAGCGTGTGGTTTTGGGCATTTCATCCTCATCTCTGCTGCAGAGACTGGCTTATTCTGGGTGTTCATAGCTTTTGTTGCTCCTTGTGTGCCTGGGCCGTCGAGACATCGAGACAGAGCCTGTGTGAATTTAGAAGGGATTTCTGTGTATTGGACAAGACAACTTTGTGACAACAGTAAGGATTCCCCAATTACTTCTGGGCCGGACCCCCCAGAACTGGACCAGTGCAGCAGCAGAGAAGCCGTCTCCAGTAGGTTTGGGTCTGCAGACACCGGCTGCTTTTCTTCCATCAAAGTCAGCTAGCAGGTGAGAGGCCTGAGGTGAAACCCTCCTGCTGAATCCCCCCACGAACAGGGGTGGCACTCTGCACACATGTGGGTTCCACCCCTGTGCCCCTTCACCTCCCCAAAAAGGATGCAAGGCTCACAGGGAGGAGGTGACGAAGCCCAGAACCCATGCCATCTGCACAGAAAGGGACCGTTCATTCATTAGTAGCATATTTCTTTAATCATTGTTATTTACAATGTATCATCTGACAGACAGAGAATAAATAAAGAAAATATACAGTTGGTATCTCGTGGCTTTTTTTTCTAATACAGAGAATTCTTACATATTCTATTTTGGAATGACTAGGATAGGTTTAAGCAGAAATGGAGTCGGTTTGCTCTCTGCCCCTTAACCCAACATCATGCCCTGCACAGTCTGCAGAGCAGGACCAGCCCCTCCCCCAAGAAACCAAGTTTTCCCTTGAAGTGATCAATTGCCTCACCCCGCTGGGCCCTCCCTGGCGTCTCTGCTCACACGCCGTCCACCTGCGGCTGTGCATTTCGGAAAGCGCTGGCCACCTCTGGGCTCCTCCTGCCCCCTTGGAGGTTTGGGGAGTTGTAGACAAGGCGAGTGTGGGAGAAACTACAAGGTTTGTTTTCAATGGGCTGAGTTTGGGGCCAGTGTGTGGTGCCCGCTCTGCACAGGGTGCCTTGTACAGAACGACCTTGAAATGCTGTCTCAAGCCCTCAAAGGTCAACTTCCCCATCAGGAAACAGACAGGCGGTAAGTCCCGAGGCCTTTCCCTGCTTTCCCGGTGTGAACACAAACTCCACCACAGCAGGGCAGGGGTCCCTAACTCACCCCCAGCATGTGGTGTGACCAGTACCCGCTTCTAGATTTTCATTCAAAAACAGCCTCCGCAGACATGGACGGAACGACCACGCAGGACACAGCGGTGACCGAGTTGCAGCCCGTGACCCTCAAATGGAGCCGTTAGGACACCACCAGCCGGGAGCACCAGAACGGGAAGCTCCACACCCCGAGGTCACTGTGTGTTTGCCTTTTGTTTGGTCCACTGTGGTTGGTGCTCTGTTTCCGAACAGATACCTGGGCACATGAAACCTCGCTACTGTTCTGAAAATGGTTTATCACACATCAGAGGACCATGCCACGGTTCTCCATTCCTTCCACAAGCTGCCCTCAGGCTGGGACTCGGCACCACCTACTCTTTACCAATCACTGGGCCACCCTCAAGTCCTCTCTGCCACAATTACAAGCCCTCCTCACTGTGGGAACAGCGGGAACCACCCAGATTTCCCTCCATGCCTGGTTCTCCAGCCAGAGAGCCACAGGCAGGTCTTCCTGTCCTGAGTCCTTTCAAGTTGCTCTGGGTTGTTCCAGATGCCACACAGCCAAACAAAGTCAGCAAACGTGGACAGTATCCGGCTGGATAAAGCTCATTGGTAAAGGAACTGGCTAACTTGTTACATTCTCTGTCGGGTGTTGGACAGTGGATCCAGGTGGTATCTTTCTCACTGAACCAGCTACGTAACCAGGGGTTAACCCCGCCCTGAAACTAAATAAGGACGTGTGAACAACTGTTGAACTCTGAACACTCCCGAGGCTTAGTTACTGGTGCCGGAGCAAGGTCAGGTTTCTGGCTGTGGGAGTGCGTGGCGGGCATGTAGGATGCCAGCCGTGGTGTTGGGGGGCCTCCCTGCACTGCTTTCCCAACTTCTCGGGAGTCCTCACGTCTTTCAAAACAACAAGTTTTGGGAAAGGGACACAAGAGCAATCGCCCAGCAAATGACGCAGCCCCTGCAGTGGAGCCTGCAGCGGCCTGCGGTCCCGTCACCGCGAACCGTTCCCGCCTCTTCCCACACCCGTTCCAGGACGCTCTCCACGTGGAACGGGCATCGTGTGTTTCTACAGAAATGTTGCATTTCCGTTCAGAAGGCTCTCCCAGCATACACCAGGGTCTGAAACTTCCAGAAACACTCTGGGCCCTGCCACAGGCACGGCCAGAGGCCAGAGGTCAGAGGTCAGAGACCTGACTGAAGGACTAAGATGGCAAGACTAGAAATTCAACTCTGGGTCCAGGACTTACTAGCCCTATTTGGGGAGCGAGCTACACCTTAACTGTCATTTTCTCCTTTTTTTTTTTTTTTTTTTTGTAGTTTTGGGCAAAACAGATACTATTCTGTTTCAGAGTATTTCCTTGGACCGTTTTCCTCTGCTTCCCTCTTTCGGACTCTCTCCTTCTCTGTTCTCCTTTCACTCAAAACACATGGCTGAGCCTGGTCTCTGGGGGGAGCCCAGTGGGGCCACACCCTCACGCAGCCCCCAGCACCCACCTCCACTCAGGCGTCACACCAGACTGAGTCAGCCTCACTCGAGCCTGTCGCCTCCCCATTTCCATGCCCTTCTGGGCTCAGCGGGGGCCCCATTCAGGGATGCGAGAGCCGGGACACCAAGCCTGGCGGAGCTCTGTCGAACCCCGCCTCCAGGCCTGCCAGGGCAGCCTGGAAAAACCAGGTCCAGGGCGGACGGGCTGATCACTTCTCAGCTGGGGGACACAGGCGCTCAGGCCCCCTGTCACCCGCTTCCTCCGAAACGAAACGTCCTCCCTGCTGGGCGCTCCCGGGCCTCACACCCACGGGGAACTTTCTCTTTCTCAAACCCCATGACACTCCTCCCTGCGGTTCCATCTGACGTCTCATTTCCCACCAGTACGGTCTCCACCACCCAGCATTTCCTCCTCCCCAAACACAACCGCCTGTCATCTTCCACACTTACCTTTCCTGCCCCGTCTCAGCCCTGCTCCCCGTGTGGCATCACGACCGACCGCGCTCCCGCAGCCCGCCTGTGCACGGTCGGTCCTTCTGCCCACCTGCCTTCGTTCAGCCACGTGCACTCTCCTTCCCTCATCTGCCACTCCCGCCCACACTGTGCTCCGTCACAGCCTCGGCACCTGCCAGCGATCCTGCCCCTGCACTGAAGCCACGACCCCCTCGGGCCTCCCCAGGCCGGGCCGACTCTGAGCACAAGACTGGGCAGGTGCCGGGTCGGGCTGAGCTCTCCGCCCATCGACCAGCCTGCGCATACTGTCAACCTGACCCCATAACCACAATCTGACATAAAACATTCCACATCCTCTCGCCTCCTTTTCTAACTCATTTCTAGTTTCCTTCCTCTAACTTAGATCCGAGTGACTTTTAAATTCTCCACACGAGGCCTTTGCCAGGCACATGCTAGTTGGCTCTCTCGGGTTTGTGCTGTGAACTCCGTGGGAATGGCCAGGCCACGGTGCACCCGTGTTGGCCACACAGAGGTGGGACCTTCCTCACCCCAGAAGGGGTAACGGTCCATTGCAACATGCTCCGGCCGGCCACCCAAAACCGGTGACCCATCAGACGCAAGCCCAGGAAAATCCAGACACACCGAGTTCACTTGAAATCTGACTATACTCCTGTGAGCCCATGAGATGCAGTGTGTTGAGGCCGAATGCTTAGAAAAAATAAGTGGGGGGATGTTAAACAAAGGAAGGGGGAGGGACCACTTCCCTGGCCACCGGAGGAGTCCAGGCGTCTGCAGTCCCGCAGGAGGCGGGGCATGACTCAGTGTGTGAGCCCCGGTGCGGTGCCTGCCCGGTCACACCTTATTCTGGGCGGGTCTGTGAGGAGCAGTTCCAGGTGAGGTTAGCATCTGAGTGGTTGGGCTGAGCAAGGCCAGGGCCTGGGCCCGTGGGGGGGCCTCACCCAAATGGACGAACAGGGGACACAGCCGCTCCCTCTGGCCTGACACTGAGTCTGAGTGGACACCCCAGTCTCCGGGGGAAGAAGGGGACCTGCAAAGGGACCCCAGGGTGTGGGGCTTCTGCACCTGCTGAGGCCAGGAGCAAGGTGAGGGCTGATGGGGGACCGAGTGACATCAGGTGGCAGAAGCGGGCCCCCAGGGTCAAGTTCTCTTTCTGAGCCTGGGGGCCATCCTCTGCCACCTTTGCCGCACCTTCTCTGCGGGACCTGGGGGTTCCCTCCCCTGCTTCCCACCAAATCTGAGAGTGCGAGGCTCCGCCCCGGTTCTGACCGGGCTCTGATGGGACCGTGTGTCTGTTCCCGTGAACTCTGCAGACAGGGCCTCCCTGCTCCCTCTCTCCCAGTCACTGCGTCTCTAAGGCCCCGCCCACTGAGCTGTTGCGTGGGCGGCATCTTCACGGCACTGACCTGCACCAACCGCCACCCTGCACCGTCTCACACCACTTCTCTGTGCTTCAAAGCCTCTGTCTGTCTGTCTGTCTGTCTTCCCTGGTTCCTCAGCCTAGATCTGAGCCTCTTGAGGGACAAAGGCCCCCCCTCCAAGGCAGGCTGTTCACCCTGGGAGCTCCCTGCACAGAGGGGGCATCAGTGACCCCACAGCTGCCACTCGCTGGTTGGAGGTCAGCCCTTCGGAACACCCACAGCCGACCTGCTCTGTCGTCCACGCCTGAGAACTTGAACCCCGGCCATCGAGGGCTGTGGGGGGTCCGTCCCTTCCAACAGCCGTCTGCCTTGGAGAAGATGAGCCACAGGGCCTGAGATGGAGCTACCGAAATGCCAGTTCTTACGGATCCCAAAGCAAACTTTCCCTAAGACACACAGGCAGGCGTGTCTGAATGAGAGGACACAGAGGACCCTCTGCTGAAAGGAGTAGCACACCTGTCACCTGTCCTCCTCGGGCCTTTTCCCGTGTCCACTGTACTGAAGAGTCCTTCCACGCGTGGGGTACGTGTCCTGCCTCGCAAACGACAATCCCCCGCACACCGCGGGCAGCGGACACTCTGGCCTGTGCAGTCAGTCCTCTGTGTTTTCTAGGCGCGTCCACCGCCCATCAAGGGACGAAGCGCCCACTCCGGGAAGCGGGGTTTCTCACGCGGCATCAGCTACGTTGGCAGCACAGAGAGGCACAGAACTGCTGAGCGACATGAAACCGCCCGTGACCGGTCCCTGGAACCACTTCCGAGTCTCCACTCTCGCCGAGCGTTTCCCCTAAACCTGACCTCAGGCTTCCGAAGAGACTGGTGTTCTTCAAGTTGTTCTTGCCGAAACTATTTCTTTAAAGGCAACGTGGTAGAAAAATGGTGTAGAATCTGCACATTTATAAACACAAGCATCTTTAACCTTTATAAATTATCTAAACCGTCTATCTAGCCTTCCTGATCCAGCAGTTTGGTGCATCAGTGGAGATTTCTTCGCTGCATTTTATCTGCCGTAGCTTTTTTTTTTTCTTTTTTAGTTCTTTAATGTAAAAAACAAGTATATAGGGGCCAGGGATGGAGAGTGAGGGTGCAGGGCAGGAGCCGAGGACAAAGAGCGCGCGCCCCGGCCTGGCGGCGCGGCGGGCGGGGCCGAGTGCTGGTGTCGCCAGGCGGCGCGGAGGCCTCACTGGTCGCCCTGCTGGAGGAGCAGAAGGTGGATCTCCTGGAAGGAGGGCCGGTGCCTGGTGTCCCTCCTCCAGCAACTCAGCATCAGCTTGTACACGGGGTCGGGGCAGATGGCGGGCTGGGGCAGGTACACCTTTGGAAACGGGAAGAAACACAGAGAGCAGTGAGGACCGAGGGGGAAGGAAGAGTCGCCGCATCACTGTTTCATTTGCCCGCTTCCTGCGGTCTTGAACGGAGGTCGGTGTGGTGTCCCTTCTCCCCTGTGACAGAGTCACAGGAGTCTGAACCCCTCAGCCCGTCCCCTGCCCTGGTTTGGTCCAATGCTCTGAAGCAGGGTTTCCTGAGGGCTGGCTTGGGGTCCCCGTCACCGAGCAAAAAGACATCACGGCTGGAAGCCAAGGGGTCAGTGCCCTATCCCTTTAGACCGTGAGTTTCCGGGCAACTCTTCACACTTTGTCAAGAAAAATTGAAAACAGACATGCTGAGTGCGTTTCTTCATCAGGGAAATGATCGCCCTGACGCCAGGCGCTCGCGATGGAACGCAGAGCATTCGGGCTCTGCCCCGGCTGCGACCCCACGTAGGAAATCCCTGCCGGGGCTCGGGTCACCGAGGGTGTCTTCCGCATTGTGTCTTCCACCTTCGATGAGCCGGTGACATCAGCCAGGCCGCTCGGGGACATCCTAGGTGCCACACATGTGGCCTGTGACCACAGCACCTGGCGCGCAGCTGGCCGTGGGGAAAAATCGCTGCTCCACACTGGGAGGCCAGCCTTTTACAATGTGATTACCAACACTCTTATAATAAAAGTTAAAGCAGTCAACTATAGATTATAAACTTACCTACAATATTTATACAGTAATATCTAATAAAATGTAATACTATCGCATGACAAACTATACTTATAATAAATCATGTTCCTTAAGTTCATGGGTTAAATTTAATACATTTTTATCGAAGCTGTAAACGTGGAATTAGCGGCGAGGCACTCCCTCGGCTCATGGTGGCGGCGTGTGGCTTTGGCCACGGCTTTAGTCAAACATTGGGCTTTCATTACTCAACCACCTGGTGGGCGCTCAGAATGTGTTTGGTTCACCACCAGTATTTAATGGAGGTAAGACGGGGCACCCTTTACACTGAATATTTTTAAATGGGTGAAAAAGATGAAACCCCAGAGAATGGGGATCGTGAGTGACCAAGGACACCACCCAGGTGGCCCGTCTCCCAGCCCGGGCCTGACCTGCCTGGCCCGGGCCTGCCTCGCCCCCTCCCTGCGGGACGCACAGGCCCACGCAGCGCCCCCGACGGCCTCACCTGCCGGCCCTGGTCCCGGAAGAACTCCCCGGTGTTCTCGATGACCTGCTCGTCCGACAGCTGGGAGTAGGGCTGCTCCTGGCAGAAGGTGAACATCTCCCACAGGGTCACCCCGAAGGCCCACACGTCGCTCGCCGTGGTGAACTTGCCCTGTTTCCATGGGGACAAGAGGGAAAGCGGAACAGGTTAGACTGTCACGGCCGGGTGTCCTCCCCGCCCTCGCTGAGGGCGAGGTCACCGGGTGACCCGTCACGACCTGAGTGGAGCAGCTGAGAGGACAGCGGGAATGTCTCAGCTCCGGGCAGCCTGGGGCGCAGCCCTCGGCCGCCAGGCCCCTTGTCAGCTACGCGGGGTCGGGAGACACGGCTCCAACAGAGACACGCGTGGAAAATGCCTCTCTTCCCCGCCCGTGGTCCAGAAGACCAAGAGTTGAATAAAAATCTTACCTCGAAGAATGACGAACTTAAAATAAAAAGTAAATGATGATAATCATCAAGATAAAAATACAGAGATTAGCATAAATGATTAATCAGGAGCATGGTTAGGAAGTTAACACAGAAGGAAATGATTTTGTGTGAACATTTCTTTTAAGTGATTTTTTAAAAACATCTTAAACTAATTAAGACCCCTCAGTAGGTGGAAAGGAGAGAGAGAAAAACACACAATCTCCTATCACGATGGGTGTGTTTTTAACCCTTTCATGCACATTTTCTACCATGAGCGTGTTACATTTGCTCATGGCAGAAATGGGTGAATGTTAAAAATGATAATCGGCTCTCAAAGAGGACAACCCCAAGTCAGTGCCGACCCGGAGGCCTGCGGTTCACCTCGGCTGCCCCGGCCGCCCCGGACCCGCCGTGCACCCCGGACCCGCCGTGCACCCCGGACCCGCCGTGCACCCCGGCCCCGCCGTGCACCCCGGCCCGGCCCACGGGCTCACCAGCAGGATGCTCTCCCAGGACATCCAGCGGATGGGCAGCACCGCGCGGCCCTGGATGCGGTAATAGTCCCCGCTGTACAGGTTGCGGCTCATCCCGAAGTCGGCGATCTTGATGGTGTAGTTCTTGCCCACCAGGCAGTTCCGTGTGGCCAGGTCTCGGTGGACAAAGTTAAGGGAGGAAAGGTACTTCATGCCTGACGCGATCTGAGTCGCCATAAACTTCAGGTTGGCATAACTGAGGAGACACGAAGGAGGGACAGTCGCCGTGGGACGGAGGAGGCCGTAACCGGGGCCTGTCCCCCAGTGGGTTTCAGGGTCGAGGCCGCCACCTCCCTCTCCGCCCGTCAGGAGTCTCTGCTTCCCCCAGGCAGCCCGCCTCGTGGAGCTCAGCCGAGATGTGGGGCTCACAGCTCCCGTCTGCAGTGAACCCAGGGTGTCGGGGACACCAGCTCCTCACCTGACTGTGGGCGCCTCGCCGGGGGCAGAGTTGGGGGGCTCGTGGCGGGAGAGGAACTGGTTGAGGTCCCCGTTCTCCATGTACTCGGTGATCATGCACAGGGGGTCGTCGGCGATGCACACGGCCAGCAGGCGGATGATGTTGGCGTCCTTGAGCCGCGACATGATCTTGATCTCCTTAAGAAAGTCATTCCTTTGGAGGGCACACACACGGACAAGCCCAGAGCGGCCAGAGTCAGGGCCCAGAGGGGGCAGCGGGCACAGCCACGCCTCGCCCTCAGACTGGCTCCCTCGGGCCACCTTCCAGAGGTCAGCGCGTGGCCCCCGACCCCCACCCCCGGGGCTGTCTGACCCCACACGCCCTGTGAGCTCTTTGCAAACAAGGCCTGTGATCAGGGCACATTTGCATCCTGGGGCCCAAAGCCACACCCGCCACGTGGAAAGGGGTTCATGTCGGCTGAATAAGGGGCGCATTACCCAACAGGACTCTGGGAAGGGACAGACTCTTCACTGCAAAGGAGCCCCAAGCGCCTGGAGTGTTTACCCCATAAAAAGCCCCTGGGCCGCTGCACTGATGAAGCAAAGAAACTTTTTATAAAGCGAATCATCGCCCTCAGGCTCGTCCGCTAACTCTGTACTTTCTCTCCGTTTTTCTGCACAAGGAAGTGCCAGCTGTCAGCCCCAACATGCCAGGTTCACAGTGGCGATGTGGGGTCTCTTCAGAGTGAGTGCCCACTTGGCCAGGACGAATCACTGTGTGGGTGTTTGGTGACAGCCACCCCGAGTCACACAGTGGCTACACACTTCCCTGTAGCAACCCTTCGGGTGGAGAGGCCACGAGCCCAGGTTCCCCGGATGACAGGGGCAGGTCCGCTGAGTGTCCGGGAGCTCTCTAGGACCCTGGGAGTCGGGCTCTGTCAGTGGAACCCCCAGACCATATCGAGCACATCAACCGCAAACAGGGGTGTCCATGGCCCAAGAGGAGCCAGAGCCCCGGCCGCCCACCACGGCCCGGTGGGGGTGGATGCAGGAGCAGGGACGCCGTCCCCACAATCGAACAGCAGGCGGAAGGCGTCCTGTCTGGGGGTGTTGCAGCGTCTCTGGTCAAGTGCTGAGATTAATATCAGGAAGAAACTCTCCGTCCCCCTACGGGACCCCCAGGCATCACCTGCCATTCGGGCTAGCACCCTCAAGACTGGAGTTCTCGGGTGAAATCCCGGCCCCTCTCCTTCCAGTCCCTGGCCTTTCCTCCTCGCCCCACCCCCTGCCGTTCGAGCGACTCTCCGGGAAGCCTGATCAGCTGGTCGGGAGGGCAGGGCTGAGAAACCCCTCAGTCCGAGTCTCAGTGGGACAAAGCCCCCAACCCAAGTGGGGAATCGAGCGTGTCCCCCAAGACGAGGCCTCGTCAGGGGCTCGTCCAACAGCTTCCAGCCGTGCCTCTGGGTGAGGAAGCTCACCGTCACAACGAGGAAAGACCCTAAGACAGTGGCGTGGCGGGACTGCGCCCCATGGAGGGGAGGGCCCCAGGCTGGGACACAGCTAAAGGGCCGAGCATCCTTTGTTTGAGCCCCTGGGCAGGTCTCCCCCCAGGGGAGGTGGCTGCTCACCGTGAGGGCCGCTGGACAGAGAGGGAAGGAGCAGGGAGGAGAGAAAAGGAGGAGGCAGAGCGCGGGGAGTGGAGCAGGGGCCTGGTGTGACTGGCGGGCGGGGACACTCGGGCCGGGAGGACAGGTGACCGAGTCCGCTGGGGGATGTGCGTTTGTGTCTGGGGGGGACGGAGGACCCAGGTGAGGACTCCGGTCTCACAGGAGGGGAAGCGTAACCACGGAAACGCGAGACCGCTCACAGGCCTGCCCCTGGACAAAGACCTGGGGAAGGGAGAGGCCTACGCCGACGCGGACGCCGGAGCACAGACCTGGCGTTCTTGTTGGCGTCAGCCCGGAGCATCTTCACGGCCACCAGCACTGGCGGCCCGGCACTGGCGTCCGGCGCGAAGCCTTCGTCTCCCAGCTTCTCCATGGCCTCCACTTCGCAGAGGTGGACCTGGACAAGAGGCAGGACTCAGTGTCCCACCACCGTGTCTCCCAAGGGAGACAGCGCTCTCCAGGGGCCCCTGGGTGAGCGCCCAACCTTACACGCAGCCAGGCAGACAGGCAGGGGCCCCTGGAGGGCCCGTGGGACGTGCCTGCGACTCAGATCAACGCTGGTGGAAATGCTGTGGTGTGTGACGCTTTGTGAAAGGAGTGAGCGTGGGTCACGGAACACTGAACGTGTGAACCGGCACATGGGTGACCCAGCTCGGCTCACGATTATAAATGCAGGGAGTTTTCTGGATCGTGTGATTTCCTCTCTAAGACGCCCCCTGAGCATGGGGTCAACACCACCAGCATCTTTAGCCCAGGGACAGTCGGGGACAAGCCGCCGTACCTGCCACACCGAACCTACACACACAGGAAGCGAGCAGTCCCCTGACCATCGGGGACACGGTCCCGATGACCAAACATCACAGCCAGAGAGCAGAGAGGGTGGCGCGGAGCTTTCCATGCAACTCCAGTCCCTTTGGCGACGAGCTCTCCAGGGCATCGGGGACCGAGGGAGGGGCCGGCACCACAGGCCTGACTCGGAGGCGGCTCAGCGGAGGGCGTCTCCCAGTCTCAGCTGGAAATTCGGTCCCGAGAGGCTCCCTCTGGGACCCAATGCCGGGGCAAGGCTGTTTTTGACTATTTCACACAAAACTCTCATTAAAGAGGAAAGAACCAAAGTGACTGTCAGCAGCGGGTGTCCCTGGGCAGTTTGTAAAGGACGATCACATCTCATGGGGCCCCGCCCTCTGGGGCCCCTTCTACAACGTTTGAAAATATTGAATGTTGGAGGAACAAATAGGTAGGACACAGGGACGAGAACTAAGGGGGGTGGAAATGGGAGGGAGGTGGGGAGCAAGGGGCGGGGGAGGCTGGGATGGGAAAAATAGACAAAAAACTGTACTTGAAAAATAACTAAATAAAATTTAAAAAAAAACAATGTGGAACATCCATACAATGTTCAATGATAAAAATAAATGAGTGACCAAGTTAAAAAAAAAAAAAGAAAATATTGAATGTTTTTCAGGACATCTGGTAAGTCCTGTAACGGGCCTGCTGTGAAAACGCCTACCTAGCCATTAGGAGACCTGGGAAACCGCCAGAATTCGGCAAAGATGAGGTAGACCGAGCACCGTGTTCTCGTGGGGAACGTGGTCAGGGGGGTGGGGGGGTTGCATCCATGTTGGAAGGGACACTGGTTTGGCCCCAGCCTCGGAGCAGCAGCCAAGGGCCAGAGTCGGAGCCCACTCACCTCCCCAAACTGGCCCTCCCCCAGCTTCTCCTTGAAGGTCAGCAGCTTCCTGGGGAACTCGGCCACCGCCACGTCCTTCCCGGACAGCAGGTCCATGGTGAGCGCCGGCACGGAGTAGGTGTTGCCCCCCGTCACGCCCTGGAGGTTCACGATGTCGGCCTCGGCGTAGTGGGGCACCCCGTCCGGCCCGCTGGGCTGGACTGGCTTCACCAGGCCACTGCAGCCTGGAAGACAAGGGTGGGGTCAGTCCAGGCGGCTCTGGGGGTTTCTGCAGGGGGGCAGGCATGTGTCCCTAGGGCCCCCACTCGTGGTTCGCCCATGGGGCTTCTCAGAGGCTCCCCTCGTGGCCTTCAGTGGACAGGCCGTGGGTCTGGCCCTCATTCTCTCTCAGGCTACAGGGGCACTGTCCTTGGGTGACCTTGTGGGGAAGCCAAGCAGGAAGGTCCGGGCTCCGAAAGGCAGGAATATTAAACGCTGATGATATCACAGCAGGTTTCTTTCATTGTGAGACACTAACGCTGACTTAATGATATAGTTTAGGTATTTAAATTTTTTCTGATTAGGCCTGGCTGTTGTGGCTAGTGGACTGAGCACCGGCCTGGGACCCAAAGGGTCACTGGTTTGATTCCCAGCCGGGGCACATGCCTGGGTTGTGGGCCAGGTCCCCAGTAGGGGGCGTGTGAGAGGCAACCACACATGGGTGTTTCTCTCTCTTTCTTTCTCCTTCCCTTCCCCTCTCTCTAAAAATAAAATCTTTAAAAACTTTTTTCATTAAATTTACATAATCTAGTTTATGACACTCCCTAATTTAAGGGGAAAAAATGAAAATATAAGGGGGGATGTGTAGGCTTCAGAAAACAGGGCAAGTCCGCCGGCCTAGAAAACCACGGCGCTTACTCCCTTGTTCCCGCCTCCTGTGGGGCCCGAGTCCAGCGCTCTCCTTCCTCCCTTTCCTCGAAGGACCAGGGACCGACCCCCCAGAACCGCCACTGCCGCAGGTGGTCTGTCTCCCCGATGCTGCGTCCCCGTGAAGATGCCCTTGTACCCGACCTCACGGAGAGCAGAGCCTTAGCCACGCCCCCAGCGTCCGTCCTGATGTCACCCACAGATCCACACCGGTTTTTCAAGAAACACGGGGAAGGCAGCCAACCCGCCTGTTTTACCGAGCAAAGCCGAGACACGGTCACTCTCGTCATAAAATTTGGTGCGATTCCCATTCACTTCCGCCAAAGAGAAGTCAGCTCCGGGGAGGTGACAGAGGTCGGAGGAGAGGGCAAGCTGGGCCCAAGGGGTTTCTCCTCCAGGGGAACCCAGCTGGGCAAGGCCCTGGTCCGGGCACTCGCCCCTGTGTAGAACGGGGGCAGCTGCCCTGCTGGAGGCCCCTTGGAGGGGGGGGACCCCCTTGCTTCCCCTCTGGAGGCGGGGCTCCCTGCCAACTTCTGCTCGGGGCAGGAGCAAAGGAGGGGCGCTCAGAGATGGAAAAGGAGGGGGCTTGTCCCCACTAACCCCAGGACGCGCCAGCACTGCCGCCCCCCCTGGCCCAGGCCCCGCCCTCGGCCCCGCCCACACCGCCGCACCTGGCTCCTCCTCCCCCGGCGTGAACTCGGGGAGTTTGCGGATGAGCCGGGAGGGCTCCTGGTAGTCGGGGCGCAGGGGGAAGATGCGGTCGTAGGTGCAGCTGGACCCCCGCTCCTCGCTGGGCGACGAGGAGCGGTTGTTGTTGAACATGCTGGACTCGCTGGGCAGGGACAGGCTGACGGTCATCTCGTCGTCCAGCATCCGCCGGGAGGCCTGCGGGGGAGGGGAGGCGAAGGGGAGGCTGCAGGAAGGGGACCCTGCGTCCCCTGGGCGTCTGGCTCCGCATCTCCAGACGCATCGCCAGCGCGCCCGCCGCCACTGCGGGGAGGGGAGCCGGGTGACCCAGGACGGCCCCTCACTGCTTCAGGGCGGGTGCTACCTAACTGCTGTGCAGCCGGCCTCCCTGAAGCTCCGGTTGTCCACCCGACGCCCGTAAGAACCCATCGGTGTGATCGCGGAGCCCAGCCTCAGACTGGTGGGCGTTGTGTCGGAGAGGGGCTCGGCTGCGGGCCCTGCACCGCACAGGTGGGCGGAAAACGCACCGAATGGGCTCAACTCGGCAAATCGCTCGTTCCCCTTGTCACCCGGGCCCCAGGTTTTTAGGAACCAAAAACAAAATAGCCACAGAGCGGCGAAGGGATCCCAAGGAGGGTTACACCTGACACAGGAATAGAACAGCCACATGTCACCCTACCTAAGGTGACCTGTCTGCTGCTTCCAAAATGTGGCAGCACCTGGATGTGTGCAGCCCTTTGGTTCGTCACTGCACACGGCGGGGTCCGCGAGAAACCCAGACGCCTGCCTCGTCCCCCAGACTGGCAGGCCTGGGCTCGCAGAGAAGTCCCCCCACACGCCGCGGGCGCCCTGCGTGGGGTGCAGTCTCTCAGAGAAGCTGCGCCGAGTGCACCGTCACAGGGGCCTGCGAGCGATGCCTCGGCCTGAGCAGCAATGAGCAACGTCTCTGGGAGCAGAGGTACACATCAAAACGTCCCCCCAAGAATTCCCTCTCAGGGAGACGGCCTGCATCTTTCCAGAGCCTCTTGCGTCGTCTGGCTCAGGATGCACGGGGCAGAAGGGGGTCTTTGAAGGACAAAGTACAGCTGTCAGGGGCAGGGTTTTTCTCCCCTTCTCCCCTTTGTCCCTGGAGAGTCTCCAAGCCACACTCCCCTCCCAGCCCAGGAAGGTAGCCCAGTCCTTTCGGAAGAAAATCCAAGGAGTGTGGCCATCAGTGGGTCCCAGAGAAGCAGGAGGGGAGGGCACGGAATCCCACCCCCAACCCCCGTCCTGCAGGCCATGGGGTGAGGACCCCCTGCAGCCTCGAGCTGTCCGGGGACCCCCATCTGCCCACACCAGTCGTGCCACCGCCCAGGCTCCCCGGCCCGGACCTCTGAGGCCCGGTGCCCAGCATCTTCCCGAGGGGCACGCTCGCTGTGGGTGCTTCCCTTCAGTCTCCCAGTGATACTGTTTGTGGATCGGAAGCTTTCGGGTGGGGAAAGCGTTTCTGACGGATGATGGAAGCCCATGTGGGAAGCGAGGAGACCCTCTGTTCTGGGAAATACCGCTGCCTAAAAAACCTTAAAATGAACCGAATCGCCCCAGAATCGCAGGCTGTGCTCCAGGCTCTTTGTCTCCCGGTCCCCACTTGGGCACTGTGCTCCTGTCCTGCGTCTGAAGTCCTCAAGAGTCCAGTCCATCCTCAGTGGCCCTGTTCCTTCTCTGGTCCCCTGCACATGGGCCTGGTCTCCGAAAGCCCCTTCCCCACATGACATCGGTCAGGCCCTCCCTTACAGCCCAGGGCTCCCCTGACCACTCAGAGTCCATGTCCACATGAGCTCACGGACCAGGGAGCCGGCCACAGCCAAGCACAGAAACATTAACCCCCAGAAGCCCCCAGGAGTGCGGGACACTTAGCCGTAGCATCCAGAAAGTCATTACCTGGCCCAAGGAACTGAGAAAGTCACAGATGTCCCACCTTGGGTGAAACATGTATGTTTTGAAAGAAAAGAAGTGAACATATTTCAAGACTGACAACTGAGCCCTGGCCTGCAAACCAAAGGGTCGCTGGTTCGATTCCCAGTCAGGACACATGCCTGGGTTGTGGGCCAGGTCCCCAGTAGGGGGCGTGTGAGAGGCAGCCACACAAGGATGTTTCTCTCTCTCCCTCTTTCTAAAAATAAATAAATAAGATCTTTTAAAAAAAGACTGACGACTGGGAGCAGCCTAGAAGTCAGGGCGCGAATCATAGGACTCGGAGCCCACCAGGCGAGCTCAACTGTAGCTGCGCCCGGCTCCCCACCCTTGATGAGGTTCCAGGGAAACGACACGCCCAGAAGTCTCTGCGAACATTAAATGTTAGACAAATGGAATAAAAACCACTCAGATAACTTGAGAAGCCCTCTGAAGAGCGACTCGGAGGGACGGACGACCATAACCTTCAGTGCAGAGTGAGGTAGGACACAGTTCTGAGGGACTTGGCTGGGCCGTTCTCCGAACCCGCACACTCCAAGAAAGCAAACAAACAAACAGCAAAGAAGGGAAGGAACGGTATGGTCGGAGTTGTCCACGTGGGTTGTCCCTCAGAATCACTTGCTCGTTTTCTATGTAAAGGACATGTGCCTGCTCCGTCCTGGTGGCTGGGTCACCTGGAGCATTGCCTCATAGAGCAAAAGGCTGCGGGTTCAACTCGTGGTCAGGGCATGTGCCCAGGTTGTGGGTTTGATTCCTTGGTCCGGGTGCACACGGGAGGCAACCGATTGATGTTTCTCTCCCACATCATGTCCCTCTCTCTCTCTCTCTCTCTCTCAAATCAATACATCCTTGGGTGAGGATAACAAATGCACCTGAAGCACCCCGCCCCCAACTCAGAGGATCAGAGTCTCCCAGGGCAAAGCCCGGGCGGAGATCTCACACCCTGGGAGGGGTTTTCCGGGGAGGTGCATGGTCTTCGCTCTGAAAGCGAGACCACGGACGTGCTCACGCTTCTCTGGCTGCCGCGCTACGAGCCCTCCATCCCCACCTTCCCGCAGCCCAGTGAGCCCCCGCCATTCCCAGGCCTCCCTCCGCTGGGCGGCCGCGGCTCCGGCACAGCCTCACCTTCTCCAGCATCTTCTGCCAGAACTGCCTCCAGAGGATGATGACGATGATGGCCAGGAGGATGAAGATGATGGCCACCAGGCAGCCGATCAGGATGCGGGTGCTGCTGTCATCGGCCTTCAGCATGGGGTCTGCGACCAGGGACACGGAGACAGGGCAGGTGAGCCTCTGGTGGGGCCAGGGGGAGCCTGGGGACTGGGCCGGGGGCCCTGCGGGACAATCTCTCCAGCGGCCACGCTACCACCTCTGGGTTCTGCGCCCACAGCAAGCCCCCGCCCGCCCTGGGCACATCAGCTGCCTCCTCCTCCTCCTCCTCCTCCAGTATCAGACCCGCCAGTGGGCAGGTTTTCCATTCTTCACAAAGTTGTGTTTCTCCATCACCGAGGCCTGTGTCTACGGGCCCCTAATCACACCGGGTGAGCACTAGGAGACATGCTGCGTCCCTGAGACAGGACAAGGCGGCAGAGGGGCCTCTCTGGAGACTCGGGGTCTCGACTTCCCAGAGGGCTGCTCCTGTGGCCAGGGAGTGCCGGGACCCACAGATACACAACCGCCCGCCACCAGGGAGCCTGGCATTTCGCTTCCCGGACCCCCACCCATCCAGGGCCCCCCCAACCCATGAGGCCCAGGTGGACCGTCCCTTTCCCTGCCTCTGCTCCCCGCTCCCCAAACTCACATGGAGCAATGGGAACAACCAGGGATGCCCTTTGGCTGGGTTGCAAAGTCAGTGACCCAGCCGCACAGAGTATGTGGGTGCCCTTCACTTTGGGGGTGAGCCGTCTGCATTCCCAGGGCCCCTCCTCATCCCGGGGGACCAGGCCGCCTGCACGGACCCCTGCAGGGCCCCGCCCTCTCCAGAAGCTCCTCCCACCTGTTTCTCCAAGGAGGACGCCCACCTACCGTAGGTGGCGGGTGCTGAGGGTGCGGTGGGCGGGGCTCCGGAGCTGTTGTACATGGCGGCATCTGTTAGAGACACGGGACGTCAGGGCTGCGGGCAGGACGGCGAGGCCGCAGGTTACAGGAGGCAGGTCGTGACCCAGCGCACAGTGAACTCAATTCTGTGGGCCGTCACCTGCCTTTCTTAAAAACGACCTTATGTAACTTACTGAACAAGAGTATCACCGTTCTTCTAGGTGGTAAGGGCAACTTTTGTAAGACTTTTGTTTAAATTATTGTATACTAGGTACCACGGTACAGGGAAGTTTAAGGAACGGTGATGGGGAGGTTTGGGGCCACATGTTACTGTAAAGCTTGAGGAAGAAGTGAGACCCAATGTCAGCAAAACGGACAGAGAGTCCAGCTGGGGAGTGGGCCTGGGGCGGGGGCACCCAACGCTTTCAGGCTAACCGAGCAAAATTTTCCCTAATGAAACAATTGATTATTTTCCCCAACCCTAAAAATTTTTTTTAAAAAGCACATAGGCCAGTGTAGGAAAAACCCTCGACAAAAATAAATGCGGGACAGACTGAAACAGCCGCAGCTACGCCATCGGCCAAACCGGATGCAGTGTCTCAAAAAGGACTGTTCCCAGTTAAAAGAGACATTTAGGAATATAATTAAGGCAACTCCCCGAAGGGCCCTGCTTAGATCCCTGTTGGGGACAGAGCACGGACAGGCCATGAGGGATGTGAGGGTGTCACGGTATCGATGAGTGACCCGGGTTACACGTTACCATGGCATCGCCCGCACAAGGACAATGCTGTTTTCTCAGAGAACCCGGCCATCCTTAGGAAGGCAGGCAGGCAATGCCTCAGATTCGCCTCAAAATACAGCAGCAAAGTAGAGACCGGAGCAAGTGGGGGTGACAGACACCAGAGCCGAGGGACAGGGGGCCCACTGTCCTCCCGACTGTGCATCTTTAGAGATTTTCATTTAAATGTTGCGACTGTGGCCCGGCGGCCTCCCTCACCTGCCTTCATTCACAGGATGTCCCTCACACGTCACACTGTCCTGTCCCCGCCCTTCGTGCTCCGGGTCTTTTCCACGAACAAGTGGGACCCTCGCGCACCCCTGTCCCTTCCGGCCCTCCCCGCACCCCCGCCCGCCCCCTCGGCGCCCGCCCGCCCGCACCGGACTGGAAGGTGACCTCGCTGAACATCATCCAGGTGTCAGCGAAGTGGTACTGGCACTTGACGGCGCTGGCCATGCGGTGCTGCAGCGGCACGGTGACGAAGCGGGCGCTGGGGTTGGCGTCGTCCAGCACCAGCGGGAAGGAGACCGCCTGCGGCTCCCACTCGCTGGAGTCCGAGCGGAAGTAGCACTGCACCTCCTTGAAGATCTTCACACCCTTCTCGAACATGTTGTTGCAATGCACCTGGTGGGGGAGGGGTGTGCAGGGGCCTGTGGGTGTGGGGACTCCTGGGACGGGACCGGCAGGCATCTCCGAGTCCCCAGAGCGACCCCCTCCTGGCCGGCTCTCCCGCAAGGGTCTGTCTACGGGGAAGAAAAGGCTCCTTGCCCGGCCCTGTTCCTGCCACACCCCTGCTCCTCCTTGCGCCTCAGGTGGCAGACATTTGTAACCGTGCAGGCTAGCGTAGGCAAGATGGCCATTATAATCGAGTCACTGCAAACACTCGTCACACTGGCATACGTGACGTGCCAGGGACAGAGGTCAGAGAGCAGGGTGCCCATCTGGGTGGAGCTTGAGGCCCGGTAAGAGCACTGACACCCAGTGCAGACAAATGATGACAGGCGAGAACTGGGGGACAGCCCTGGCTGGTGTGGCTCAGTGGACTGAGGACAGGCTGCAAACCGAATGGTTGCCAGTTCCAGTCCCAGTCAAGGCCCAGGCCTGGGTTGCGGGCCAGGTCCCCAGTGGGGGGCCCACAAGAGGCAACCACACAATGATGTCTCTCTTCCTCTCTTTCTCCTTCCCTTCCCCTCTCTCTAAACATAAATAATTAAAATCTTTAAAGATAAATGAACTGGGGGACAGAAAAGCAGGAATCTTCTCGCAGGACCTTGCTGCTGTGGGTGGGCACAGGTTGGAAATGCGAAGCCCACCCTTTCCCGGAGGTCAGCCTGGAGGGGACCGTCAGCACTCTTCCCAGGGACAGCCAGCAGTTTAAAATCATATTTCACAGCCGCGCCGTTAAAAAGCGAGACCAGTTGCTGGCCCTGAGTTACTCTTTCTCCCCTGACTGTGCAAGGAGGCACAGCCCTGTCACGGGCTTGAACGCACTCTGGGTCCTACAGAGGAGCCGAAGGGGTGCTCGGGGGCTGGAACCCCAGACCGCGAGGGGCGGTGGCCTGGGGTGACCCCCTAACTGGCCAAGGAGGAGGTGGCCAGACCGGCGGGGTCGGGGCCTGTCCCGCAGCCCCGCCCCCCGCACATTGCCACGCCAACCCGCTGACCTTCATGGTGGTGAAGTTCCTGACTCGGTCGAACTCGAACACGATCTCCACGTAGCCGTGCGCGGCGCTCTCGTTCCTCCAGCCCACGTAGTCGTAGCCGGGCCACACATGGTACTCGTGCGTCTGCGTGAAGTCGTCCAGGCCCGACACCCCGTCCGTCAGCTGGCCCAGCCCCTCGGTCATGCTGCTCAGCCAGGGCCAGAGGGAAAGGGACAGAGGCGCCCGCGGTGAAGGGCCCGTCCAGGGAGGGGCCCTCCCTGCGCCGGCCCCCGGGGTGTGGAGAAGCTGGTCACGGCAGAGGTGGGAGGGTCATGAAGAGCCCCCTACCCAGGGCCCTGCACAGAGCAGGCCCCTGGCTTATGCAGGGTCCCGCAGGAGCAAGCCTGCTGGAGTGTGGTTGCTCGGGTCGTAGCGCGGGTGAGACAGCGAATGGTTCTCATTTGAACACGTCACCTAACACGTCCTGGCGTGTGCTCGAGTGGGACATTGTGATGTTACAGACTGACGTGCGTGTGACTCTGTCAGAGTGACTCCGTCCTCACTCCCTGCACTGCCCCCCACTCTGGGGGTCGGCCTGCCCTGGAAGTGCACCCCGTCACGCTAAGGCTCGTGGGTCTGCCTCTGTGCAGTTTCTGAGGCATCCACAGAGAGGGGTCGGCCTTCCCGAACCTGCGGCCTGTCCCACCCACTACGCCTGCAACTTCGGCTCCCACGGCCCTTTGTCTCCGCACGTCAGCCATTACTGGGTCGGACCGCACGCCTGGGTCAGGGGCAAAGCCTATGGCTGCCCCCCCAGAGCCACCCTGGGGAGGGGCTCAGTGGGGTTCATGGTCTCCCCACCTTTGCTTTGTCCTCCCAGACTGAGCTCTGCATTCCTGCAAGTGAAGAATGCAAATTCGAGTTCATCCAAACGGGCTCCCGATGCCCAGGTCAAAATGAACGCCGGTCGACGACTGACCGATTGATTATTGATCCCAAGGATTCCCTTCTGGGGGCCATCTCCCCATTCTGACAGCCGGACCGCCCCCCGCGTTCACCTGTAGCCCACAGCTCCATCGTAGACGGAATCGTTCAGGTAGATGACGGAGCCCCCCGGCAGCACCAGCTGCTGGCCAGCAGGGGCGCTGTAGGACACCAGGCCGTCTGCAGGGAGACACGGCGGTCAGCCCGTGGAAGGGGCCGGAGGCGCCAGGGCCCACATCTGTGCTGCACGCGCACCAGACCCCCGTGCAGGTGAGGGAGCCCAGAGGAACCGTCCCCCTGGCGGTCAGCGGGGTGACAGGGACACAGTCACTCCGGGGATGGGCCGCATCCCGGGCCGGCCGAGCAGAGCCTCCTCCTCCCCTTGACCGCAGAGGGGGAGCCCAGCTGCCGGCCCTGCCTCCTGGGGGTGGGGCCCAACCCCGCTCCCCGAGGCCCACCCAGGCAGACCCCGCCCCCCAACGCCCACCCCCCAACGCCTGCTCCCTGACGCCCACCCAGCCAGACGCAGCCGTACAGCTCCACTCTCATGCACACGTTCATCGCGTGGTCGGTGACCGGGATGAAGCGGACAAATCTGGCCACGATGGGCGGCTCCAGGTCCTTCAGGAAAATGTCGTAGGGGTTACTGTTTCCATCCAGCACCTGAGGAGAGGGCGGAGGGCAGCACTGGGGTGACTGTCACCCCCGACGGACCCGCGCCTTACAGTTCGAGGAGAGAATCAGCCACTGGGCTGGGCTGGCAGCCTGGAGGCTCCGATCTGACCCCCGCGCCCCTTGCCAGGCCCCACGGTTACCCGAGGTCCCACGGACGTACAGACAGCCCCCAGTGTCCTCCTGCGGCCACTCCAGGGCCTGGGCACTCCGCCGCCTACCTGCCTCCCGTGCCGGTTCCGCCAGGAGATCCAGCGGCTGCCGTCCCGGCTGTAGTTGATCTTGTACATGGGGGCGAACTCGATGCCGTGGCCCCCGGCATGGCGGCCCTGGGTCCCCACCAGCGTGATGAAGTGCAGGCTACGCAGGTCGACCTGCAGAAACTCCTTGAGGTCGTCCGGCTCCACCGGGACCTCCGGGCACCAGGCACCGTCCCCTTCTTCCGAGTCCAGCCTGCGACACAGGGGGCGCAGTGTGTGAGACCCCGGGTGTGACCCCAACCCTCGGGGAGCATTTCCCCGTCCTGGGAGAGGACAGCGGGAGTCCAGGCCAGGTGGACGCCTTGGGCTCTCCCCAGTGGCCAGACTGCCGTCACCGTACACTCAGGTGGCTGGGCCCCTCTCTGTGGGCCCCAAGAACCTGGAGGGCAGCTGCCACCGGGAGCTGGAGGCCTTCAGGTCACACGGGGCCCCAGCTCCATCCTGACTTGGGACCTCAGTGGATGTCCCATGCCCTGCAGCCCTTCCCACAGCCGTGCACCGGCCCCTCCTGAGTCTCAGTGTGACAGCACTGGCCACTTACTGCCTGGGAGTCGAGTCCCAGGCAGGGGAGGGGCAGACTCCAGGGTCTCCTGTGTGGGCACGGCCACCAGGCTGAGCAGAAGCCCATGGTGGGCATGGGGGACACAGGTGTCGGGCTGCAGGGAGCAGGCTTGTGAAATTGGCATCGGGCTCAGGTGGGGACCCCGTGACCGCATGCCCTGTCCCCTGAAACGTGCCTTCCCTCACAGGTGTCACCTGCCCCTCGGTGTCCCTTTCCAATCCCAGCCCGCTCCTGTCCTGGACACCCCACATGGAATTTAGGGGGGCTGCTTCTCCTGTGGGTGACGCTGGGGAGCAGAAGTCAATGCTGTGCCCCCAAAGGGTCAGATTGCGGGAGGGGGGTCGGGCCCCAGCAAGCACCGGGACGAAGGTTTGGGTGAAGGAGTTCCTCTCCCGATAGGACCCCTGGCGTTGGAGCCCAGGCCTGGGCACATGCCACACTGGGGGCCCTTGACGGAAGGGAGGCCTGTGGGGGACCTCGCTGCACGTCCCACGGTGTGGGAGGCTTCACAGAGAAGGGGACAAGGGCGAGGACAGGGTCTCTAACCCCAATGTCCTACCTTGTCTTCCCCTCCCCCCAGTGTCACCGCTGAGCCCCTCCCTACAGCATCTGCCACTGAGGACAGAACGGAAGTACCGAGAATCACTGAGCCCCTGCTGGGCGGTGGCTCTGGGCCACTGTGGTCTGGATGTCGTCAGACCCGAACCCACGGCTGAGCCCGGAACCATCCCCCTAAAAATGCACATGGCAGTGTGGGACAGACCCGCAAAGTCCTCCCCGTCCCCTCCAGCCCCTGCCCACCCCCCGCCAGGAGCCCACGGTCCTGGGGACCACCCTCACCTTCCATATCGGGCAGCGGTGGATTCCGACCACTGGCTGGACGCGGTGATGTCCTCATCTGGGATGTGGCCGCCGGACATGCCCAGGGGGTAGCGGCACACGGCTGGACCGGGAGAAACCAGAGACGGGGGTCTTCACTCGTCCTCCCGGAGACGCCGGGGGAAAGGGGGCTGCTTAGTGGATGCGGGAAAGGTGGCCTCAAGCCCCCCAAAGCCCCCGTGACCCCGCTGCGGCACCGGCCTCTGGGCCTCTTTCTCTTCCCGGGTCCGCCTCCACACTGGTTACCATTCGGTCGTACGCCCCTCGACCCCCGAGCTGGGCTGACGTTCGGCCCAGACGAGGACAAGTACCACCCACTGGGTGACCTTGCCTTTCCTTTGGGAAAGCCCCAGGGCCTGCCCCGCCCTTTGGTCAGCAGGTGGGCAGCCCCCCACAGTTTATCCACGGCCCCCAGCCCCCAGGGGTGCAGAGCTCTCTCCAGGGGGCCGACTTCGGGAGACCAGGGCGAAAATCCAGCAGATGTTCCCGGGAAGGGGCCGAGGGCACAGCGTTGCCTCATCCGCACCCAGTTTGAACCTCAGGACCCTCAGAGGTGGGCCTCCCCACCTGGTCCCCTGAGGGGGAGGCACAGGGGCCAGGCTTGCTCTGCTGTGTAAGCCGAACAGATAGAGAAGGAATGGACAGTGTGTGCGTGAAATCTCAGTTTCAGTGTCGTAACTGCCAGTGAGCCCAGGGCACTGGCCCCCGAGAGACAGGACACCGAGGCCGTGAGCCCCGAGGCGGCACCAGCGTCCAGCTGTGACCGTGGCCACTGTACGGAGGGGAGACAGGGCGGGCAGGGGCAGGAGGGGGCATTTCTGGGGGGGGGACGAGAGGGGACCCTGCAGAGGACAAAGGGGCGGGAGATCCTAGCACACAGTGTGGCCACCACGGTACCCACGGGGTTCCCAGCTACGCTCCCATTTCAGATAAACAAAAACGCACTTTTCACGTGAACAGGCCCCCTGCTGTTGAACAAACAGTCACTATGGGAGCAGGGAAACAGAAGCTGGGGGGGAAACCGGCCGACAGAACCGGTGAGGGCTGGCAGAGAAGGCAGAGCCGGAAATTCGCCCAGCCGCAACGGCGCTGCTGTGTTCAGATGTTGAGGGGAGCTGGGTGATTTAGGGGGTGTGCGGTTCGGATCTCTGGGCGTGCGAGATCAAACACGCTGGCTGGGACGAAAGGCAGAGGCACCTTGAAGCAAAGATCCACGAACTTGAAAACACCCGTGGAAACCAACCAAAGAGAAACAGGACAGGAAACCAGCCCGTCGGCCGACAGAAGGACCCTCACTAAGACACGGAGGGCGTCAGCCCTCCCAGTCGGCGTGACGGTGGGGTCCTTGGGAGAGAGCAGAGGGGAGGACAGAACGTTACTTGAATAGAATCTGGGGAAAATGTTTTCAGATTCAACGCACATTCTACACCCAAGACACCGTGTGACGCAAAGCCCAAGAATCACAAGGAAGACGGCGCATGATGACCCAACTGCGTAAAGGAGAGAAACTTCCAGAAGGAGCTGGAGGGAGGGGACGTGTTTTGAACAGAGGCACGGGTGGCAGTGCGGTGATCACACCGTAGACGGGCGACGGCTTCAAATGCTTTTATATCTCGTTAAGTGGCGAGTGGCCAGTTAAACAACGAAAATATATTGTGGGGTTTGCAACATAGACAAAGGCAAAGTGCAGAGCGTAGGGGAGGAGGCTGGACAGCAAAGAACCGCAGTCACCCTTTCCGTGTGGTGCCGTGAGAACGCTCGAACACCAACCGGGGACCCTCGTGACCGACGCCCAAAGGAGCTTGAGAAAGCAGGTCCTCAAGGCAGACGAGCCCCTGGGTTTCGGAGCCCCCCTAAAGGCGTGGGGCTCGGGACGGCAGCTCCCGGTGAGCCGGGCTCCCTGGGCCCAGGCAAGTGACCAGCTGGCACTGGACGGCCTTTCATCACAGTGGGGCATTGGGACCAGGACAGGCCGTGGCCCGGGGCCACCCACGTGGCACTTGTCAGCAGCACCGAGCGGCTGTCCCACAGAATGTGCCAGTTTTTGGTCGGCTTCTCCGTGTAAGGGAGCCCAGCCAATGGTGCCAAGTGGGCCCAGGTCCTAAATGCCAGGCGCCCGCCACCCCCCCCCACCCACCCCATTGTTTCGCAGACCCCTCCCCGCCCGGGCCTGTCTGGGAGCCCATCGGGGCCCGGCCAGAAGTGTGCCCGGTGGGCCTCACGGCAGAGCGGGGGCCCCTGATCCTACTCTGCGTTGTGCCGGTGGCTTCCCCACCCCTCCCACCGCGCGTCATCTCCTGGACGGAGCCCTCTTCCGGTTTTTCAGTGTGGAAAATTACCAGAGCCCACGGCTCATGCCCGGCAGCGGGGCCACCCCCCACACTAACGGAGCTTCCGGCGCGCCCGGCGGGCAGCCTGGGAGGAGCAGCCGCCCCAGAACCTCATTTGCACGATGCTGTTCACATCTGGCCGTGCGCGCCAGGCCACAGTGCCCCATCCGTGGGGGCCCCGTATGCCGCTTCCAGGAAACCTCTCAGAACACGCCAGGCCCGCGCCCTGGGGGCTGCCACCACCCATTTGGCACAGGGAGGACAGGACCAAGCGGGACAGGGACCAAGACCTGAGCTCCACAGGAGCGCCTGCCACTGGGAGACCTCAGGGCTGGGATGGGCCTCCAGGAGTCCGGCCACTGCAATGGCCCAGAGAGGGGATGGCTCTGCCAACTCAGGGGACCTGGCCTGGGACACAGGTGCCCGATCCCTCGTCCCTTTCTTCCTCCCTAGGTGACCACAGTCCAGTTCTTACGAATCCAGGAAGGACAGGGTGACCCAGTTAACGCAGCTGAACGTGGGCCGGCTCCCACAGGAGCCACACCCCAGGCTGTGCCAGGCCGGTCCCCGCTCAGGTGCGAGTCTCCATCAGTGTATCCCAATGGGGGCCAAGGCCAGCTGTCTGGTTTCTGCCGGGTGCCAGAGGCTGTTTCGCCAAGACCTCTCTGGCCCAGTCGAAATTCCCCTCAGGAGCTGCCCACTGGGGTGGCCATTTTCCTAGAAGACCCCAAACTTTCCAGAAACAGTTCCTGCCAAGCTCCAGGGAGGGTCCCCAAGCTGAGCTGCATTTCGGGGCCCTGAGGGAAGGGACGCAGGGTCAGGGAAGGGTCACAGCAAAACAGTGTGCTGCTCTCCCACGAGGGGGTCAGGCTCCGTGGCAAGCAGCTGGGAGTGGAGAAGCAGGCGGAACGAGGCAGGAATCGTGGGTGCCAGATACTCGGTCCCGCCACTCCTGGTGACAGGACTCGGAGACAGGTCAGTAGACCCGAGCCTCCAGTTGCTTGTCCTCCGTTGGCGCAGACCAGGGGTGTCCAGCTTTGCCTTGTTTGACTCACAGCTCAGCGTGGCCTCCACAGGGCATCTCCCGCCGTGTTCACGTAGCTGCCGCCATCAGCACCCGGGTCACCCGGGTCTGAGCAGGGTGGGAGGCTGGGTGAGAAGCTCTGGGTGTGCCCCGCAGGTGCCGTCTGCCTGGGCGGAGCCCGCGTCCACCCCTGGCTCCAAACTGACCGTCGGCTGAAGCAGCCACGGTCAGGAGATAGTGTCCGGTCCCGGCGCCCCCATCTGCACTCTGAGCCCCCCGGCTCTCACGGCCTCAGCGCCGGTCGGTGCCTCATGAGACCACTGGGGGGTTTAGCCTGGTTCTTCCATTTCTTCTCAGGGGGTAGCGGCTCCTCCACCCACTGCCCAGGGACAAACTCTCACTCGTACCTTGGGGCCAGTCCTGTTACCTGATTGTTTTCCTGTTGCACTGGCTGCTAGGAAGCTCAGGGCCCAGTCGAGGTGGTCACCAGCCAACCCCAGAGAGCCAGACGCAGTGTGTTTTGCATATTAACCTGAAATAAGCCTGGCTCGTTCCAGCCCTCCTCTTGACTCAGCTTCCTTCCAAGTACTAACCAGGTCTGACCCTGCTTAGCTTCCGAGATCAGACAAGATCGGGCACATTCAGCGTGGTGTGGCCTAGACTTACTTCCTTCCTTCCTTCCTTCCTTCCTTCCTTCCTTCCTTCCTTCCTTCCTTCCTTCCTTCTTTCTTTCTTATTCAACTTTGGAAGCCAACTCCAATCTTTGTTTAGAATGTGTCAGAGTAAAACTAGTTGCAAGATGAGTAGCCTTGACCTCTGCTAAGTGTGCTGTCTCTCAGCAGCGAACGTACATACTAACCCACGACTCCTCAGGCCGTTCCTGTAAAGAAGCACCGTGATGGCCACTAACCCGTGGGCCTGGAGGCTTAAGTAAGTAACCTCCCGAGGGCCATCAAACCCTGGGAGGCTTTAGAAGAAGCGAACACGGTGTCTACGAGAAGTGGCCCCCACGGCAGGGACTCAGCCACGCTGCCTCTCCCACAGAGAACTGAGTCCTTCGTCTACAACGGGGGCGTCCAACCTTTCGGCGTCTCTGGGCCGCTCTGGAAGGAGAAAGGTTGTCTTGGGCCACACGTTAAGTACAGTGCGACACGTAATCACAAAACATCACGTGTTAACTAAGTTTACGATGTTCTGTCCGGCTGCATTTGCAGCCGTCTGGGCTGCATGCGGCCCCCGGGCTGTGGGTTGGACACCCCCAGAACCACCAAATGCAAACAAACAACATAAAATCGCAGCTTTCCCACCTGTGTCTGTCCCACCCCCGTAGCCGGAGCCCCTCCTGTGCGGGTTGGGCCGTGGCTGGAGTTTGTGGTGCTTATTCACAGGAGACACAGCTCGGCCTCCTGTGTTCTGCTTACAGCACCCAGCAGACTGAATGTGAATGTCATTAAACCCCTTCCGATGCCAGCTGCCCGTGGCCATGGCAGGGAGACTCAAGGCTCCAGGAGTGAGCTCAAAGGCTCTGGGCAGTGGGGGGCTCAGCAGTGCAGCCCAGGCCACTTCCGTCTGTCTGTCCATCCGTCACCTCCTGGCTCGCTCACTCTGCGCTTCTCGCCCCTGTTGTTTAAAGGGACTCCTTCTCAGCGACCTGTCACCTGTGTGAGCTCACGTCCCACTCGGCCTCATTCAGACCCTTCACTGCAGGAG